CTTTTAGCCTTTTTTTTTTTTTTTTGTCTGGGAAGCTCTTTATTTGACTGTCTATTTTGAATGAAAGCCTTGCTGGATATAGTAATCTTGGTCTCAGATCCGTGCTTTTCATTACCTTGAGTACTTCATGCCATGCCCGTCTGGCCTGTAGAGTTTCTAATGAGAAATCAGGTGTCAGCCTTATGGGAACTCTTTTGTAGGTAACAGTTTTCTTTTCTCTTGCTGCCTTTAAGATTCTCTCTTTGTCTTTAATTTTTGGCATTTCAATTATGATGTGTCTAGGCATGGGCCTGTTTGGGTTCTTCTTATTTGAGGTTCTCTGTGCCTCCTGAACTTGTGTGACTTTTTCCTTTACCAGGTTAGGGAAGTTCTCTGCTATTATTTCTTCAAACACCTTCTCTATGTCTTTCTCCCTTTCTGCCTCTTCTGGCACACCTACTATTCTAATATTGTTACCTTTCATTATCCCTCCCTTAAGTTGTCCTCCTGTTTTTTAATATATTTTTTTTTTCTTTTTGGTTCTCTGAGTGATATTTTCAACTCTGTCTTCTAATTCACTGATTCGATCCTCAGCTTCACGTAATCTGCTGTGTATTCCTTCCAATGTGTTCTTTATTTGTGTTATGTCATTTGTTATATCAGACTGTTCTTTTTTTCATAGTTACTGTATCTTTTTTCATACTATTGAGCATTTTTAACATCATTACTCTGAACTCTGTTTCAGATAAATTTCTTATCTCTGCTTCATTTATCTCTTCTGAGAATTCTCTAGTTCTTTCATTTGGGGGTTCTTTGTCTCCTCATTTTGTTTTTCTGTTTGGATTTGTGACTGTGTATTAGGTAGATCCTCTATACCAGTGGTCGGCAAACTGCGGCTCGCGAGCTACATGCGGCTTTTTGGCCCCTAGAGTGTGTCTCTTCCTAAGCCTTAGGAGTACCCTAATTAAGTTAATAACAATGTACCTACTGATATAGTTTAAGTTTAAAAAATTTGGCTCTCAAAAGAAATTTCAATCGTACTGTTGATATTTGGCTCTGTTGACTAATGAGTTTGCCGACCACTGCTCTATATCTCTCAATCTCTAGTGCAGGACAGTGTTAAATGCTGTTTCCGACTGATTAGATCAGGCATAGACTGAAAGCCTCCAGAGACCCCTCTGCTTATTGACTGATAGGATTCCAACTTGAATTGCCCCACAGGCAATCATCCTCGGGTGTGATGAGAGTTTTTTTGAACAGGGTGGGGCAGTTTCTTCTGCCTGGAGGCTAATTGTTATTTTTAATCTCTTAAGTGGCCTCAAGGCAAGGTGTTTTCCAGTAGGGTGTAGGGCAGTGGCTCTCAACCTTGGCTGCACATTAGAATCACCTGGGAATCTTTTTAAAATCCTGATTTCTGGGCCTCATCCTCTGGAAATTGTTTATTTGTTACTAATGTTGTGGCCCCACCCCATAACAAAGAAACAGAAAATCCGGAGGATGAGGCCCAGAAATCAGGATTTTAAAAAGATTCCCAGGTGATTCTAATGTGCAGCCAAGGTTGAGAACCACTGGTGTAGGGGAAGTAAATGTCTAAGTGGGAAAGATGTCCTCTGCTGCATGAGGGAATGACTCAGCCCAGGAAACTTGGGGTGTCTGCCTTCTGAGCTCTATCCCCCAAGTCCCCAGTCCTGGCTTCTGCTCTCACAGCTCCAGTTCACTTCACCCTCCCTCTGCTGGAGCACAAGGTGGGTAGCTCCACTGGTAATTTTGTGTGTTGGCCCTTTAAGAGGGTGCCTGAATTTTCAGCTGTTACTCCCTGGCAAATAGCACCCTGCTGCTTTTCACAGCCAGACGTTATGTGGGTACCCTCCTCAGTTTTGGTGCTCTCTGCTGGGGGCTCAGCTTGGGGATTAGATCCCAGAGTTCTTAGTGGCATCTACTCACAGCTGAGATATCTCTCTGGGACTTCAGTTGCTGTCTGTGAGCGCCCAGCCAGCCCTTTCGCACCTCTGCCCCTTTACCAGTCTCTATTGGTCTCTACCTTGGTCCTTGGGTATCAGGGTTCTCTCCTGCGAGTTTTCTGTTGATTATTCAGTTTTTCTGTATTTTAGTTGTAATACCAGTTTGTTCCTGGGAGCATGTCTGTGCAGCATCCACTTATTTTGCCCCCATTTTTAATCCTATTGTAGTTTTCATATGGAGTAACGTGACCTTGATGGAAACCACATTTAGGGTCTTGTATGGCTTCATCTGTTTTTTCCAGTAGAATGCTCTGAAAGTTTCCTTCCTAGCATGTACCTTTAGTTGGCTGCCTGCTCAGTTTCTGTTTTCTGGTGGAGGGATGTTTGTTCTACTTCATGTCTAGAGAACTGAGACAGGTAGATCATGAACTAGACAGGTAACAAGCTTTGTTGCCCAGGTTGCCAGGTCAGACCATGGCAGGTCTTGGTTGAATTCAGGGACTGCACCTTTCCCTTGAAGGAGAGGAGACCACTGGGAGAGGCTAAAAGGGGCGGAACTTGAACTTTTTATGAGGCAGCAGCAGATGTGGAGCCTCTGGTTTTAAGGTGACTTACTTGTTTCAGCAGCAAAAGGAGAGGAACAGTTCAGGGGAGACGGATTCTGCTTAAAAATAATAACTTACTAGCCATATCAGATATCCAATGATGAAAATATTTCTTCAAAAAGGGGCACCCTTCACTCTCAGTAATTGAACTTGTAAGATAGGCAGAAACTTAGAGCATTGAGAATTTTGAGGAAAGTGTGATTATATAATTCTTAAAATGTAAAGCTTTCATGATCCAGAGCCAGAAGCAAGTTAATGTGGGTTTCAGATCATAGTCTGTGACACAAACTAGTCTGGGAAAATCACACTGAACCATAATTCTTCAACACATAGAGTCAGTTCAGCAGTTTTTTACTAGGTTATCCTGTATCAGAGTCTTTACACTGTCTCTATATTTAGATAAGATTTGCGCTGACGGAATTAGCTGTGTTTTTCATACCACTCTTCAGCCTACTAGTAGAACTTGACTTGAAATGTCACCAAAAGGCCTCAGTGGTGGCTTTCACATTTGGCAGCACATTAGGAATCACCTGGGAACCTCGCTGGGTCGATTACATCCCAGCCTGTGAGGCAGGACCCAGCATCATTGCTTGGAAGGCTCCCAGGTCACTCCACCTTGGGAGTCAAAAAACATTTCATTATTAATTTAGTGCAGGAATTTTGAAAGCAGGTTTTAGAATAGAATGTGGATATAGTTAAGAGCAAAGAGAATAAAAATTAGGAATATTTTTTCCTTAGTAGAACCATTTCATTCATGAATGAAGTTGCAGTTTTTTGTTTTTTGTTTTTTTTTAATATATATTTTATTGATTTTTTACAGAGAGGAAGGTAGAGGGATAGAGAGTTAGAAACATCGATGAGAGAGAAACATTGATCAGCTGCCTCCTGCACATCTCCTACTGGGGATGTGCCCGCAACCCAGGTACATGCCCTTGACCGGAATCGAACCTGGGACCCTTCAGTCCGCAGGCTGACGCTCTGTCCACTGAGCCAAACCGGTTTCGGCGAAGTTGCAGTTTTTTAAGTTACATTAATATTTCTGGAAAATGGAGTTTTGTTTTATTGGCCATTCTGCGAGAAGAATTTTTGAAACTGTTGTCAGCTCTCTCCAGTCCCTGCCCTACCTCCTGTCCCTGGGATTTCAACTCCTGCTCTAATGAAGATACTTCAGCAGGCTTGAGGACTGCTGGCCAGAGTTGGAACTGCAGTCTGTTTGCTCTAAAGAGCTGTGGAATGCCTGTCAGCACAGGGGTGTTTGAGAAATACAAGGCTTTCTGGAGCTTACTTGAGTCTTTAATATAACACCTACCATACTTCCACATTTCTAAATTATAATATTTTGGGGTCAAATTTGCTATGTGACCTATTTGCTGTATATTAGAGAGAATCATTGATCAGCTGCCTCCTGCATGCCCCTTATTGGAGATCAAGCCTGCAACCTGGGCATGTGCCCTACCAGGAATCGAACTGTGACCTCCTGGTTCATAGATCGTGCTCAACCACTGAGCCACACCGGCCGGACAATATGCATTATATATTGATGCTCAAATTATAAGACTTAGAGTCTACTTATTTTAAAGAATTGGAGAGATTTAGGACATCTTTATTTTATGACATCATTGACAAATGTCAATGAGTATTTCGTAGTTTTTCTTTAAAAAATATTTTTATTGATTTCATAGAAGGGAGAGGGAGAGAAAGATTGAAACATGAGAGATAATCATTGATTGGCTGCCTCCTGCGCCCTGACTGGGAATCAGCCATGTCCTCCTGGTTCATAGGTCAACGTTCAACCACTGAATCACACTGGCCAGGCCATAGTTTTTCTTATTTGAAAATACCTTTAAATTTACAGCTGTTTACCCACCTGGATTTAGAGAAGCACATTGCAGATTGTCCAAAGCTTTGCAGCCCTTTATCTTCTGACACCAAAACTATCTGAGGAAACAGTTTCTGCTCTTGCTGACTTATTCTTGCTTCTCTGCAGTTTTCAGAGGTAGATTAAATTAATGAAGTAGCATTTATATTTTGACTGGAGTTTGTTTGCTGAATGATTTAGGAACCTGTGTTCCTGATGACCTCTCAGGGTGACTTAGATGTGAAATGCCCCCAGGATCTGTAGTGACTTAGAAAAAATTGGAAGCAGCAGGCAAGGGTACGACACTATGGCTTTGGTGTGTGTTTGCGGGTGAGTATCAGGTCTCCGGAGTTGAGTTTTAGGTTTCCCAAAGTTCTACCGAGAAGAATTTAGGATTCTGCAGCTCAGTCCTCTCAACATTTCTCATGTGTAACCTAAAAGCATGTCCATTTAAAAAATTCAAGATGCCATTAATGTCATCTAAAATTCTCATAAAGTTTTGACATAATTTGATTTCTAAACAATAACCAAATAATTTTACATATGTGATGAAAATAACAACTGGTATTTATTGTCTGTACTTATGCAATTTTATAGATGGAGTTTTAACATTGAATGCGGAGAACACTAATTATGCCTATCAAGTTCCAAATTTCCATAAATGTGAAATCTGTCTACTGTCTTTTCCAAAAGAGTCCCAGTTTCAACGCCACATGAGGGATCACGAGCGAAATGACAAGGTGAGTATTTTTAAAAGGAGCATCAGAAATGTGAGCGTTGAAACTGGAGGTGTTGTAAACATCCACCTGTGAATTGAAATTATTTCGTATAATTTAGATTCCTAAATTGCGGAGCATTGTATATTATATAAGTACATATTTTTAGCTGTAGTTGTATTCCTAGCCATTATGAGATCACGAGGGAAAGTGAGAGATTGTCTAGCGAGTCTGTGTATGAAAGTTCTTTTTTTTTTTTTTTTTTTTTTTTTTTTTTTTTTTTTTTAATTAAATCTTTATTGTTCAGAATATTACATTTGTTCCTCTTTTTTTTCCCCCCATAACTCCCCTCCTCCCAGTTCCCGCCCCACCCTCCGCCCTCACTCCCCACCCACTGTCCTCATCCATAGGTGCACGATTTTTGTCCAGTCTCTTCCCGCATCTCCCACACCCCTTTCCCCCCCAGGAATAGTCAGTCCATTCCCTTTCTATGTCCCTGATTCTATTATAATCAACAGTTCATTCTGTTCATCAGATTATTTATTCACTTGATTCTTAGATTCACTTGTTGATAGATGCATATTTGTTGTTCATAATTTGTATCTTTACCTTTTTCTTCCTCTTCCTCTTCTTAAAGGATACCTTTCAGCATTTCATATAATCCTGGTTTGGTGGTGATAAACTCCTTTAGCTTTTCCTTATCTGTGAAGCTCTTTATCTGACCTTCAATTCTGAATGATAGCTTTGCTGGATAAAGTAATCTTGGTTGTAGGTTCTTGGTATTCATCACTTTGAATATTTCTTGCCACTCCCTTCTGGCCTGCAAAGTTTCTGTTGAGAAATCAGCTGACAGACGTATGGGTATTCCCTTGTAGGTAACTGAGTTTCTTTCTCTTGCTGTTTTTAAGATCCTCTCTTTATCTTTTGCTCTTGGCATTTTAATTATGATGTGTCTTGGTGTGGTCCTCTTTGGATTCCTTTTGTTTGGGGTTCTCCGTGCTTCTTGGACCTGTAAGTCCATTTCTTTCACCAGGTGGGGGAAGTTTTCTGTCATTATTTCTTCAAATAGGTTTTCAATAACTTGCTCTCTCTCATCTTCTGGCACCCCTATAATTCTGATGTTGGTACGCTTGAAGCTGTCCCAGAGGCTCCTTACACTATCCTCGCATTTTTGGATTCTTTTTTCATTTTGCTTTTCCGGTTGGGTGTTTTTTGCTTCCTCGCATTTCAAATCATTGACTTGATTCTTGCGCTCCTCTGGTCTGCTGTCGGGAGTCTGTATAATATTCGTTATTTCAGTCCGTGTATGCTTAATTTCTAGTTGGTTCCCCAATATAAGATCGAGGGTCTCATTAGTTTTCTTGTAGATCTCATTAAGTTTATCGGCGGCTTCTAAACAGTTCTTGAGAGACCTTAAAAGTGTGGTTCTGAACTCTATATCTTCCATTGACAATTTTGTCCTGTTTCTTTGTCTCCGCATTTTGTTATGCTTCCTTGGTGCACCCCCTAGTGGTCTTGGTTCGAAGTCTTATAGTTAAATCTTGATTGTTGTAGCTAATTCCAGGGAGGGTTTGACCTCCAGGCCAAGTGGCTATGAGAGCTGAAAGTTCTTAAAATATGCCTTTCTCTAGTAGTTTCTGTTTCCTCTGTGAGCACAGAATTAGTACATGCTGATGTGTTTTTCTCTGGCAGGGGCAGTTACCCTTAAGTGGCTTCATTGTAAAATGGTGTTCGGTTATGTTAGATCGAACTTCAGCAGGGAGCATGCTCTCTTACATAGAGATTTGTATCCTTTCTTGCCAGGGTCTGTGATGAGAGTGTTAGTATCTTTTTTTTTTTTTTAAATATATTTTATTGATTTTTCACAGAGAGGAAGGGAGAGAGATAGAGAGTTAGAAACATCGATGAGAGAGAAACATCGATCAGCTGCCTCCTGCACATCTCCCACTGGGGATATGCCCGCAACCCAGGTACATGCCCTTGACTGGAATCGAACCCGGGACCCTTCAGTCCGCAGGCTGACGCTCTATCCACTGACCAAACCGGTTTCGGCGAGTGTCAGTATCTTAATGGGACAGTTTGCCTGCTAGATGGAAAGCGACAGTTAAAACTGCAATGAAAAAGTGGTTGCGACTTTCCTTTAGGTAGGAGAATGTGAGCTAGTCAGCCTTGTAAGACCAGAGCATACCAGCTCTCTTCTCCGGAGCCAGGGCATGACCAGCTTCGCTGTACTGTCCCCATTAGTGATAACATAATGCTGATACCAGTGCCCACGGGCGTTATTTCACTCATGGGGAAAATCTGAAAATACTGACTCAGTCCTTATTAGAGCCTTGATATTTCAGAGGGAAATTAATGCCAGTGGTTACTTTTTCTTTTTGCATGTAAGTGGCAGAATACCTTCCTTTTGGGGAACATTTTAGACTGAGATAAGCAACTCTGTTAAAATCTAGTAAAATTCTTATGATTCTTATTTTACTTGAAGTGATTCTGTTGACAGCAGTGGAGTTGGTTGGAAAAGGAGGGAAAATTGTGCCATTGTGGAGCCCCTTCATTTTATCATCAGAGATCCCATACCCTGGCACACCGAGGTGCAGCACTCCTGCCAGAACCCTCCTGCCTGGATGGGTGTGGTCCTTACCACCCCTGAGACATTCCCTAAGGAACTTTATGGTTGGTGTGGGATTTATTGACTTGGAAGTTTCTTGGAAAGATTGTAGATCGTGGTACTTGTTAATATTTGAATGTTGTTTACTGTGAAAAAATTGTATTTCAGAGGCTTCTTGATTGTTCTGTCCCAATAGCCACATCGCTGTGACCAGTGCCCCCAGACATTCAATGTTGAATTCAACCTGACGCTGCACAGGTGTACCCACAATGGAGAGGACCCGACCTGTCCCGTGTGCAACAAGAAATTCTCCAGAGTGGCCAGCCTCAAAGCGCACATCATGCTGCATGAGAAGGAGGAGGTAATATTCCTGCCTGCCCTTTGTTACCTGATTCTTAAAAGGCCTCTAATCTGTGGGGGGACCTTAGGTATAAACTACTTTACAAAGCCTTTCACGTAGATTTCAGGGAGTGAATGTTAAATTTGCCGTGGCTGATCTCCAGTTTACTGATGAAACCTTTTATTTTCTGCCATATCAGTTGGGGTAGAGACACTTAATGTGTATTTGGAGAATCAAAATATGACTGCCTTGGCTAGAAAAGTGCCCGCCCCCTCCCTTTATTTTTTTAAACAGAAATTAGTAGAAATCTGTAGTGGCCAAAAGTAAATTTTCTGCCTGTGAAGATGGCTCCTGGATCCCCTGACCTGTGTACATTTGGGAGAATAGAAAGCATTTGTGATGACACACAACAGTTACGCACCGAGTGAGCAATCCAGAACTTATGGGATGGCTGGGTTGTGTTGTTGTTGCTGGCAGTGGGGCCTCATTTCAAGTATAAATGGCTGTTGCTTTAAAAATATTACCCCCACCCTGATTATTATTGTAGAAAATTAGGAAAATGCAAAAAAGTAAGGAAGAGAATGTGAAAGTCACCTGTAATTTTATCACCCATGGTTAATTACAGATAACTATTTGTTATATTTTTCCTCCCGAGACAGAAAAACAAATATAGTATTTAAATTACATACATAAAATTTCCATCCTAAAATTGAGTTGCTACTTTCTGTGTAGGCTTGTGTAATTTTTATATGTCCTTAATTTTTAATATAAAATCATTTATTTATCTTTTAAATCTTACTGTATGAGTAATGCATGTGTAATTTGGGGACAGTTGAGTCTACATCACCAGAGATGCCAGTCCTCACAGGGCACTCTGCGCATGCCCAGGCTCCTCTACACTCCCTCCCATGCAACCCTGTTATTCTGTGCCTTTTTTCTTCAGTCAACTGTCATAGGTGATGTTCACAAACCCTGCTCGTCCTAGATTAACAGCCACATAGTGTGACATTGTGGACACAGTCACTGTGGATAGACCTGTAGGTTGTTTGCCACTGTGGTAGACCTGGTATAAACAGAGCCACATGAGCAGATGCTCCCAAGGCAGGCAACTTTGTACCCAGAGTACATTGTGGTTGTCACTGCTATGGGGAAGGGGTGCGGTGCTGCAGGCATCTAGTGACCAGAGAACTCCAGAAGGCCCTTTAGTGCATAGCCCTCCTCTCCCTCCAAACACACATAGAGTGATCCTGTTCCTAGAAATGGAATTGCTCAGTCAGAGCAAATGTACATTCAGAATTGGATAGATCTTGCCAAATTGTCTCCAAGGAAGTTCTATCAATTTATACTCCAGCCAATAGTGTATGAAAATACCCCTTCATAGCATTTTCAATATCTGTGTTACAAACTTGTCTTTTCCAATCTGGTAGTTTAAGATGGTATGCTTCTGTTGTTTTAATTTGTATTTCCTTAATTATGAGTAAAGTTTAGCATCTTTCCATGTTTATTAGTCATTAGTATTTTTTTCTGTCTTTTAATTTTCTTATTTTGGGGGACTAGGTGGGATTATGGATATATTGTAGCTATGTGTCAGCTGTTTATATACCTAGGAAGTTAGTTTTTTTGTCTTTTCTCGGTTTCTGACTTTTCCCCCCTGGTGTAAACTTTTAAATTGTCAAATACTTAAAGTTTTAATCTGTTCATTTACAGATGCTGGTTCTTGTGACTTGCTTAGAAATACTTAACACGTCTACAGTTTTTATTTTTTAAGTCTCACCACGTCTTTTAGAGCAGGTGTACACACAGTGCAGTGCAAACCCCATTCCAGAGACCACGAGTTCACACTGATCCAAGTCCAGCCACCACCCCAGCTTCTGTGAGCCTCCCCAGTTCCCATGTGTGTCCTTGAGCACAGCAAGGACGTGGCTCCCACGTGGCAGCACAGTCCTGTGTTCTGTCTGCAGCAGCTTCACAGTTGGGTGGCTCACCCTACTAAAGGCATGCAGGGTGGAAGGGGACTCGGGGTCATTTGATTCAGCTTGCTTTCTATTTCAGGGCCACCCTGACCCGTTCTTTCGAGCCCCAGCCCTTAATGAACTACCCTCCATTAGGGTTCAGTTAGTCTGACCACAAAGACAGCCCAAAGCAGAGCAAGAGCTGAGCTGGGGAATTCAGTGATGGGTATTTGATCTTTAACCTTCTTGTAGAAAACCAAAAGATACAAAGAGCAGCCTGTCCCTTCTGTCCCCTCTGCTGGGCCTTGCCTGGAGAGGGACTACCTTGATTTTCTGGTTTGTCTTGTTTCTCTTTGCAATGATAAGCAAATGTTTCTGTACTTCTTCTTTTCCTTTTCTTTTTTATTATTAATGTGAACGTTAGAATTTTGCCTACTTAAACATGAATTTTTATTTTGGCTGCATAAAATTTTTAGAATGTTTCAGGAGAGAATGGAACATGTTTGCAAAATTGAATCTTTATCATCAAAACATCACTCAGTAATGTTTTGTTCATATGGATTCAGTGCATTATTTAATTTACTAGAGGCCCGGTGCACAAAAATTTGTACACTCAGGTGTGTGTGTGTGTGTGGGGGGGGTCCCCTCAGCCCAGCCTGTGCCCTCTCGCAGTCTGGGACTCCTCAGGAGATAACGACCTGCTGGCTTAGGCCTGCTCCCGGGTGGCAGAGGGCAGGCCCAATCCCTAGGTGCAGCCCCTGGTCGGGCTCAGAGCAGGGCTTATTGGGGAGTTGGGTCACCGCCCCCTGTCATGCACAGAGCAGGGCGGATCAGGAGGTTGCAATGCCACCCTCAGTCACGCTCAGGGTAGGGCCGATTGGGGGGTTGGGATACCGCACCCTGTCACACTCAGGACAGGGCCAATGGGGAGGTTATGGCTCTACCCCGTCACACACAGAGCAGGGCCCGTGTGGGGGGCGGTGGGGTTGGGGCGCCGCACCCTGTCACACACAGAGCAGGGCCGATCAGGGGGTTGGGGCGCTGCACCCTGTCACACACAGAGCCGCAGGGCGATCAGGGGGTTGGGGAGCTCCCCCCTATCAGGCACAGAGCAGGGCTGATCAGGGCGTTGGGGCGTCTTCCCCTGTCACGAACAGAGCAGGGCGGATAGGGAGGTTGTGGCCCTACCCCCTGTCACACACAGAGCCGCAGGGCGATCAGGGGGTTTGGGCGCTGCCCCCTGTCACGCTGATCCCGGGTTTGGGAGGCCTCTCGGCTCCGCTGATCCCGGTGCTGGGAGGCATATTACCCTTTTACTATATAGGATAGAGGCCTGGTGCACGGGTGGCAGCCGGCTGGTTTGCCCTGAAGGGTGTCCTGGATCAGGGTGGGGGTCCCCACTGGGGTGCCTGGCCAGCCTGGATGAGGGGATGATAGCTGTTTGCATCTGGTCACACCCCCTTCAGGGTGGGGGTCCCCACTGGGGTGCCAGGCCAGTCTGGGTGAGGGGCTGAGGGCTGTTTTCAGGCTGGCGGGTGACTGAAGCTCCCAACTGCTCCTTTTTTTCTTTTTTCTTTTTTTTATTCTGGGCCAGCTTTAGCTCTGAGGCTTGGCTCCAGCTCTTAGGCCTCAGCTGCTGAAAGCAGGTATCTGGTTTGTTTGGGTTCTATAATCGGAACACTGTTTCAACTCCAGCTCTGAGATCCCGGCTGGCTGAAAGCAGGTTTCTGGGGTTTTGTTTAGCTTCTATATTTGTAACAATGTTTCAAACTGCAAGCTCAGAGGCCGGCAAGGCAGGCGGGGAACGTTGGAGTCCTCTGTCACTGAAGCAAGCAAGCCTCATGTTCGCTTCAAGCTGCCTGGCTTCCGGCCGCCATCTTGGCTGGCAGTTAATTTGCATATCGCCCTGATTAGCGAATGGGAAGGGTAGCGGAGGTATGGCTAATTACCATGTTTCTCTTTTATTAGATAGGATTCTTAATATCATTTGGAGGTCTTTCAGTTATATGTTGATGGGATCTGATTAGAGTGCATGCATTTTCTCCATGAAGTCAGCTTGCCACTTAGCACTCATTGAAATTACCCCAGAACAGTCTGTGTCTAGGGTAGAACCTAGCTTCTGCTTCCAGCCTAGAGGACTTGGCATTAATTCTGACTGATAAGGTGGAAGTCTGTTAGCTGCCCCTGAGGCACAACTGCCTCTCCCCAAAGATGTCCCCAGGCACATCCTGGGAGTAAGGCGGGAATTAGTGATGGAATTTCTGGTATGTGGCCTGTTTTGGTTGTGGCTCCGGCTATACTTCACCTTGTGTTCACAAATTGCTCACAAAGCAGAGTTTTTACTCAGAAAATTCTGACAAATCTCTGAGTATAGTCATGCTGATAGCTCTTGAAATATACTAATCTGATCATTAGGTAAGATAGTAAGTAAAAAGCACAGGGATCTGAGCCAGAGCAATAAAAGAGTAAGGGTGGGAAAAGGAGGATAAAGAGTCCAGTTTTATTTCACAACTAAGACTAGAGACTTGAAGTTGTTGGTGGAAAATGAATAGTTTGAGTAATTTCTCCTCTCCTGACCCTTTTGTGGTGCCATAAAAATTCAGGAGCTCAGAGGTGATTTTTTAAAAAGAGATGCAGCAAATTATGTTAGATAATTTTTTCTTTTTGATTGTTTCTTAGAAAAAATTTTATTTTCAAGAAGATACTGACAATCTAATAATTTGTTAGTTCCTTAAATTATCCTATATAATAAAAGAGAAATATGTAAGTTGACCGTACTTCCACGATATCCACCAGCCAATCAGGAGTGAGTATGCAAATTAACCCAACAAAGATGGTGGGTTAAATTGCATACACAGGCGCCGGGCAGAGAGCAGAGTGGGAGAGCCAGTGGCTTGGGGGGATGTGGCTCCCTCGGTCGCACCCCCCAAGCCGCCGGGCTGAGAGCAGAGCGGGAGAGCCGGGAGAGAGTGGAGCGGCTTGGGGAACTTGGCTCCCCAAGCCACCAGACGGAGAGCAGAGAGGGAGAGCTGGCATCTTGGAGGACTTGGCAGAATGGGAGGCCATGGGATGGAGACAGAGCAGGAAGGGAAAACCAAGAGCATGGGAAGCAGCAGGTATTCTGGGAATAGTAGCTCTGGTGGCAGCCCCAGGACCAGAAGAAGAAGCCCAGAGTGCGGGGAGCACCAGGAATGCTGGGAATCGTTGTTCTGGTGGCAGACGGATCTCCTAGAACAGGGGTGGGCAAACTTTTTGACTCGAGGGCCACAATGGGTTCTTAAACTGGACTCAGAAGAAGGAGCTGTGGCCGTGTTTCCCGACATTGCTATGTTAACACTGCTGCTGGTGAAGGAGCGGAGGGGAGAGCAAGAGAACCCTCCACTCTTTCGTTTCCGCGGGCCGGATAGAACAGCCGAACGGGCCGGATCTGGCCCGCAAGCCGTAGTTTGCCCATGGCTGTCCTAGACAACTAGCAAAGTGTGCCTGGAGCAAGTTACTGTTGCAAAGGGGGATGGAGGGAAAGCAAAGGTGAGAGACATAAGTAAAATCAGAGTGTCTAGGAAAAATTAAAGGGAAGATATCCTAAAACAGTGGTTCTCAACCTGTGGGTCACGACCCCTTTGGGGGTCGAACGACCCTTTCACAGGGGTCACCTAAAACCATCGGAAAACACATATATAATTACATATTGTTTTTGTAATTAATCACTATGTTTTAATTATGTTCAATTTGTAACAATGAAAATACATCCTGCATATCAGATATTTACATTATGGTTCATAACAGTAGCAAAATTACAGTTATGAAGTAGCAAGGAAAATACTTTTATGGTTGGGGGTCACCACAATATGAGGAACTGTATTAAAGGGTCGCGGCATTAGGAAGGTTGAGAACCACTGTCCTAAAACTTCTAGGAAATCTCCCACCAATGAAGCAAAGAAAAAAAAATGCCTCTATTATTCTGTGAGCAACAAACTAAACTGGGTTGGGGGTCTCAGACAATTCGTTTGTATGATTGCAAAGACAGACAGAAACTCCCAGATTGGAGAGGGCTCCCCTGAGGGCTCCCAGATTGGAGAGGGTGCAGGTCAGGCTGAGGGACCCATCCCCCATGCACGAATCTTCGTGCACCGTGCCCCTAGTTATATAGTGAAATTCATGCATGGAGGGGGGCACCATCAGCCCAGTCTGCACCCTCTCCAATCCAGGACCCCTCAGGGGATGTCCGACTGTCACTTTAGGCCCGATCCTCAGGACATCCGGCAGTCGGACATCCCTCTCACAATCCAGGACCGCTGGCTCCTAACTGCTCACCTGCCTGTCTGCCTGATCGCCCCTACTGGCCCCCTGCCAGCCTGATCACCCCTAACCACCTCTGCCTGCCGGCCTGGTCTCCCCCAACTGCCCCACCCAGCCAACCTGGTCACCCCTAACTGCCCCCCCTCCCCCCGCCAACATGATCGCCCCTTTCTGCCTCTCCTGCCAGCCTGGTTGCCACCAACAGCCCCCCTCTGCCGGCCTGATTGCCCCTAACTCCCCCCCCCCCCGTCAGCTTGGTCACCCCTCACTAACCCCCCTGCCGGCCTGGTCACCCCACTCAGCCTGTTCGGTCGTCCGTTCGGTCATCCATTTGGTTGCAATGGCCCCTGGCTCTTTATATATGTAGATACCAATTTAAAGTTATTTAAGTTGAAATCATTATGGATTGCTCAAAATATTTTCCCTTCATCAGCACTCTTTTCTTTTTTTGTTAATCCTCACCTGAAGACATTTTTCCATTGATTTTTCAGAGAGAGTGGAATGTAGGGAGAGAGACAGAGAGAGAAACATTGATTGGTTGCCTTCTGCACCAGGGCCAGGGATTGAGCCTGCAACCGAGGTATGTGCCTTTAATTGGAATCAAACCTGGGACCCTTCCACTGAGCTAAACTGGCTAGGGCCAATCTCGTCCTTTTCTGCAAAGGATGCTCTGAGCAGTGTTGATGAGCAGCCTCATTTTAATGTGGGTTACATACATTTCTAAGACTATGTACAGTATTTAGAAAACACTGGTGGAAAGAAATAGCTGATTATTTTGTTATTTGGGAATGACAGTTTATGCCATTGCTAGATTACACTCATTTCTTTTTCATCTTTGGACAGTTCATTTTGAGAATCGTCTAAGTAAACAATTATGTTACCGATCCTTGTGAGTCAGCTCACTGAACCTTGTGCTCAATCGGCAGTGTCTACTATTAAAGTCATAGTGAGGACTTCCTCTTTCCATGCTGTTCACCTCTTACACAGTCACTCACTTCACTGCAGTTCAGGTGTTGGGTGAGGGCAGGGTACCAATGTCCCTGTTTCACAGTCATGGAGGGTTTAACCTGTCCAGGTGCATGTAGCTATCATGTTATCTAATTGAAATATGAGTTATTTAAAATTTATAGCAGCCATATTAAAAAATCATAAAAAGCATAAATACATTTTATTTTAATATATTTATGAAAATATCTCCAAAATATTATAATTCAAATATTAAAGTGCTTGAGCTCTTTTATGTTTCTTTTTTGCAGTAAGTCTTTGAAATACTTTGTGTATTTTATACTTTCTCTACAGCCCTGTTCAGACCACCTGTTCCAGGTGCTTGGCAGGCCACGTCTGGACAGAGTGCCAGATTTTTTCTGTAATTGACTACCTATAAACCAAGTGAAAGAATGATAGATGTTTCCATCTAAAACTTTATCGGCTTCCCTTTTCTTTGGAGGTGGTCTATCAATCTATAATCTTAACTTCTCTCCTGATTATTTTGTGCTGTTGCCATTCTGTAGAGTATTCATAGCACAGATGGACAAAATGCCAGTCACCCAAAAGCCAACTTGAAACAATTTACTTTGCTCAAGAATTATGCTATTCTCTCTTCCTTTTCCCTGTCTTTCTATCTTTTCTACCAACCAAAAAAAAAAAATGTTTTTTATCTTCATATTTAGACACTAGAGGCCTGGTGCCATACATGGGTGGGGTCTGGCAGGCCCACCCAGATGTGGGCCCATCAGGGGCGGGGCAAGCCAGGGTGAGGGGTTGTGGGAGGGCTCCAGGGCGTGTCCTGCCCGTCTCAGTCCCGATGATTGGCCGGACCCCCCCTGAAGTGTCTCCCCCCTGGTGGTCAGTGAACGTCATAGCCAGTAGTTGAGTGGCTTTAGCATATCATTAGCATATTACACTTTGATTGGTTGAATGGCCAACCAGCTGACTGGACACTTTGCATATTAGGCTTTTATTATATAGAATAATGATATATTTTTTGTGAGGTGAGAATAGTGTCTATTCCAGAGGAAAGTATAATTTGTATATCGACCGTGTACAATACTAGCTGTGCTCATGGATGGTGTTCCTTTTGCAGAACCTCATCTGCTCCGAGTGTGGGGATGAGTTCACTCTGCAGAGCCAGCTGGCCCTGCACATGGAGGAGCACCGCCAGGAGCTGGCTGGTGGCAGGGCCCACACCTGCAAGGCCTGCAGGAAGGAGTTCGAGACGGCAGCACAGCTGAAGGAGCACATGAAGAATCATTACAAAATTAGGTACAAGTCTCTACTTGGGCTTGGGGAAAATGTGTATAATGTATTAAGAATTGGCAAATTTTGCTGTGATTGGTTAAAAATATTGGCTAATCTGTTGTAGTGTCAGGATGTCTTTTATAATGTGTAGCTCATATCTACAGTAGGAAAATTGAGCTCAGAAATTAAAAATAGGTGCCAGGCTCTGCGGGTAGACAGATTTAGCCAGCATTTTAATGTTGAAACTGTAGAACAAGGTGCTAGTGTTGTTTTTACAGGCAGGTAACACTGTGTAAAGTTGATCAGCAAGGGTCATTTAGGTCCTTTTTAATGCATTGATTTATTTATACTGCTTCACTCTTTACAATTTACATGAGCCTGACATGGTGCTTAGCACACATGTAGAAACATATACGTCAAGCCATGGTACTTGTATGTCTCCAATTTGCAGATGTATGTGTGTATTTAAATATAGGCATGGTTACTAATATTATGAGCTCTAAAACTAGACTATTAGGATTTAAACATGTGCCTGCACAGACCAAGTGAAAGAATCAGTCAGTGCAACCATTTCAGAAGGTGGTTGTATTGAAAAGGAAGTAAAATCGCATTGATTTGGGCAGTGAGAGCCCTCCACGCCAGACAGGTGCTGTGGCTGAGTTTGAAGGATGCAGGACCTGGGGCTGTGGGGCCTTTGGTGGAGGCCACTGTGGGTATGAGGCTTTTATCCTGGGTGCGATGGAAGCCGCCAGAGGGTTTTACACACAGAACAGCCTGCCCTGACTTTAGGTGTGGTGTGGCTGCCCTGTGGTGGGGTGGAAGCGGCAGACCACTGAATCGGCATGGCGGGAAGACAACAGGGGGAAAGGAACAGGGGGTATCTTTGGAGATGTTCTGGGGTAAAACCAGCAGCCTTTGGAGATGCACTTGAAGTCGGGGTCAGGGAGAGGGAAGCATGGGCCCTACTCCCCAGGCTTAAACTTGCACAGTGGGGGTTGCCCTTTCCAGTCACAGGGAGGAGCAGGCTAGGAATAAAGGAAGAGTTTTGCTTGCAACACACTGGAGTTGAGCCACCCTGAGCCATCCCCGGAGGTCGAGCAGAGTTAGAGGTAGGGGGGTGGTGCTCAGTGGAGGTGTCAGAGTGGTTGGAAGTAGGACTTGGGAGGTCACCATCATCAGGTGGTGTGAAATGAAGGGACAGGAAGAAGTAGCAGAGGAGCAGGTGGAGATACAGATTACAGCTGCACAGACCTTCGTGTCTGACCATCACAGCGAAGCTTGTTTGCAAGAGGCATTCCGCCTCAGACACAAACTGTTTCTCTGTCATTACATTTGGAAAAAATGAATTTTTATGATATTGGATACACAAAACTAATACATGTATGTGTGTACGTATGTGTGGGTGGGGGACATACACACTTACATGGAATTGACTTTTCACTGAAGCACATTTTCCTGACTAGCCAGTTAACCTTTCCGGAAGGATTTTACTGTCGAGCTTTTAACACAAGGGAGACGACTTCATGAGCATCCCTTTTATTATACTAGGATGTCAAGTACGAGGTCATACAATCGGAACGTCGACAGGAGTGGATTCACGTACTCATGCCCGCACTGTGGGAAGACGTTTCAGAAGCCCAGCCAGCTCACTCGGCACATCAGGATACACACAGGTGTGGAACATGCTTACCTCTGGATGACTCACAATGTGGTGCACAGGAGAGAAATGTGCCCAGAGCCAGCTAGACCTAGAATTTAACTTTGGCATTTCCATAGTTTGCTGTGTAATCTGGGTGTCAATTTTGAGATTTTTGGGGTAGGCAATTGGATATATGAATCTGCAGTCACAGGGGGACGTTCTAGCTGGAAGAATAGTTTGGGGTCCTGAGTCTGGATAACCAAAGTATTTCTGTTTTAATCCGTCAAAGGCTCTCACAATTCTGTGTCCATTCTCCCCTCTCCCTAGGTGAAAGGCCCTTTAAGTGCAGTGAATGCGGAAAAGCCTTTAACCAGAAGGGGGCGCTGCAAACCCACATGATCAAGCACACAGGCGAAAAGCCCCATGCCTGTGCCTTTTGTCCAGCTGCCTTTTCTCAGAAGGGGAACCTGCAGTCTCACGTGCAGAGAGTGCACTCGGAGGTAAGCCTGGCCTGTGGGCTGTGGGGTTCCCAGGTGTGCGGCTGCTCACGGTGCTGCGGAGGTGACTGTCAGCACAGCCCTGAGACAGGGGCCTGTGGTGGGACAGACAGTGATGCTCCAGAAACCTCCTCTAAAGATTAGTTGCTGAGTATTATTCAGTCCTGTGATAAATCTCTTCAGAAGGTGTTAGGAATAGACTGAAAGTCTTATCTAGGTAAGTTGAAGGCAGCCGCCACAATGTAATAACTGAAGCGGGCTTAATGATAGTGAGAGAATAAGTGCTTGGACCTGCCCCTCCACTTCCTGCCCTCTGTAGTCCCCTGCAGGCTGTGTTATAGTGTTGCAGCAGCTGACGTGCAGTGCTGGGACTGGTGATGATAGGTTCACCTACCATGTGACCATCCTTCCTAACTTGTGCACTTTATCCCACGAATGCTCAGAGTTATGTCTGTGTCTGTCTACCCTTCATTGCGGGCTGTGTGTAATCCTTTAGGAAATTGAGAACATACATCAGACATCTTCTTACTAAATTATAATAACTAACAAATATGTTTTTTACTGTAATATAGAAAAGACTGTGATATTTCATTTAATCTCATACTACGATATTGATTAAAGAACGGTCATTTATTCTAGAGCTATCTAATTTAAAGGAAAAAGTAATGTTAAAGGGTTAAATTATTTCTGTCATTTTTAATGCAATGGTCAATTATGATGTGTCGTAATTCAAATGTTTTTATCTAGTAATTAAGTGTAAAAAATAATTTTTTCTCTTTTATTCTTTAAGGTCAAGAATGGCCCTACCTATAATTGTACAGAATGTAGCTGTGTATTTAAAAGTTTAGGTAGCTTAAACACTCATATCAGCAAGATGCATATGGGTGGGCCACAGAACTCCATGGGCTCTGCAGAGACTGCTCATGTTTTAACGGTAAGTTCAGTGAGCTGGCTGGTAGGATATTCTTTTACCAAAATCTATCATCTCACTCATAATCTTTAAAATTGAATATTACTTAGAATATTATTTATTACCATAGAGGTGCTATGAAGTTTTTCTATGTGGTTGTATGGTGCTACTATTTTTTAATTAGTAAAAATAAATCAATCTTTTAAATTTTAGAATAGTGTTAGATAATCCTGATTTATAGACTATCACCTGACCCAATAAAAATAAGACAAATAGAATCATCAATTTATTGAGTTGGAATTCCTGCAACATTATTGGTGATTACCAGTGAATATTCTTTATCATTATGCTATAATTTAAAAATTAAATATCCTTTTAAGCTATATTTCTCCCTAAGGTGACAGTGATAATTTTTCCTTAGACTTTGGATTTTGGTTGGGGAACTAAATTGTATTTTTCAGTACATGTATTTAAAATTGTATGACTTCACACACACACACTTATTCTTTTTATTGGAGGGATTCTATAGCTCAGTCTGTTACTTCCACCGCTCAATTGATAGTAAATGGCAAAATCTAAGCACAGTGCGGTGTCATGGCAGTAGACCTTGGACAGAAGTGTGAGAGTGTGGGTGTGTGCTTACAGTGAGCTTGGCTGGGAGTCTGGGGCTTTCACAGCTGCCTCCTGCCCCACATGAGTGTTTGTCTTTAAGCGTTAGGCTCACTGTTACTGTTTGTTTTGTCCTTTCTTTTCTCACAATATTCACAGCTTGGGATTGATACCTCAGCTCACTCTCCAGCAGGGAGGGTGTTGTAAATAAGTCCTGAAACTGGAGAATAATTAGTGCCTAATAATGAAGTCTTAAAATCCTATTTTGGACTGAGTATTTTTTAAAGAAATTTTCAGTGTGTAAATCAACCAAATACTAAGAGTTTTCACCATTTCCTTTGGCACAAGGCAAATCAAATATGTAGATGTAGTGACTAATCTGGAATGATAATCCAGATAATTTTTTAAATTATCTTGATAAATACCTGAAAATGCAGCGTAAGGTTGTGGAAACATGAACACTTCCTCCCTTTCCCTATTGGACAATGTGAGGGTCCAGCGTTGTGGCATGGGCCAGTTTCAGGACTGCCTGGGACTCCACGTTCAGCCTCTAGGTGAGTTCTTTGTGGCTCTTGTTTTGCACCTCACTTTTCTTTTTTTTAAAAAAATATGTTTTTATTGATTTTAGAGAGGGGAAAGGAGAGGCAGAGGTAGAAACATCGATGAGAGGGAAACATTAATTGGCTGCCTCCTGCACGCTCCCTACTGGGGATCAAGCCTGCAATCCTGGCATGTGCCTTGTCTAGGAATTGACCAGCAACCTCTTGGTGCATGGGACGATGCTCAACCAACTGAGCCACGTGACCAAGGTTGCATTTAACTTTTCTAACTCTTGGCCTTTTTGCTCTACTTTTATGGGTTTTCCTCAGCTTCATTTTATGATTCTCTTATTGATATTTTTAGCTAGTACAATTTTTAATTTCTGGAGCTCTCCTTCATAATCAGATTGTTTCTTTTTCAAGACATGCTTTTCTGGTTTGTTGTACTTACTTACCTTGGAAACCGAACTAGCATTTTCCTTCTAAAAGGTCTCTTCCTTCTAGAGTCGTCTGCCTGGGTCACCTGCCAGGGCTCCCTGTTTCAGATGTAATTCTTATAACCCTGGTCCCATTTGCATTTTGGAATGAGGCTACAGCAAACCCTCATGTGAACTTTTCACAGAAGATGGAGCTGGTTCATCTCCAGGGTCCCTTTGCCTGAGGAACCAGTTCTCAAACCTGGGGTCTCTGGAGGCAGCACAGAAAGGACTTTGTGTTTAGTCTGGGGACCTAAGTGCCACAAAAGGCTTCAAGTTCTCCCTAAATCATTGTTTACTTTTATTTCTTTTAGAGCCCCCCCCCCCTTTTTTTTTTGTCTGAAGGTAAAAGCCTCACTGCCCTCTTTCATGGGAGGAGGCCAGGGGTTAATTGTCAGTCCGAAGTAGTTTTCCCATGGTCTTTCTTTTCTTTAGTAATAGACTATAAAAATAATTTTTAGAGCAGCTTTAGGTTTACAGAAAAAGTGATCAGGGAAGTCCGTACTCCCCCTTGTTACTAACCACTTGTGTGGGTGTGGTGCCTTTGTTAAGAGTCCAGGGCCGAATGCTGATGTGTTATCAGTAGCCAGAGTCCACTCTGTGCTGTGTGTGCTGTAGGTTTTGACAGACGTGTGATGTCCTGCATCCACCATTATGGAGCATACAGAGTCGATTCTCCTCCTCCTCCTCCACACGTATTTGTGACGAGGCATTTCAGATTCCTGAGTTTCTGAGGAGTTGGATCAGCCCTCTCCTCAGATGTTCTGAGCTGTAGCTTCACAGAGCATGTATTCCTCCAGTGCTTCTCTTCTCCAGAAGAGTTTTGAATTTTTTGCCCACAGTGGATTCTTTCTTATTTCCTTTATTTTGTAACTCTTTCTATCCTTTCATTCTAATAGGTAAGAGGAGTCTGAGGTTTGCTCAGTCCCTTGAATTGCTAGTATCTGCTAATACTTAAAAAACTTTAAATGGTTGTAGTAGAAAATTCACTGAATATGATCTTTTAAGAGCCAGTATTGTGCCAAAACATAAAAATTAGTGAGACATTATATTTCAAATTTGGGATAGAATTAGATTTTAATGCTTATAGGGAGGTTATGCTTCTTTCTTTTTTTAAGTAATTGAAGTACTAATTAATATAATTGTTTATATTTTTTAATAACAGGCCACGCTGTTTCAGACTTTACCTCTTCAGCAGACGGAAGCCCAGGTCCCGTCAGCTGTGAGCCAGCAGAGCTCACAGGCGGTGACTGATGTCATCCAGCAGCTGCTGGAGCTGTCAGAGCCCGTGGAGTCTAGCCCGGTGCCCCCGCCTGGCCAGCCTCTCAGCATCACCGTGGGCATCAGCCAGGACATCCTACAGGTGAGTGCACTTCCAGCTCTTGGCTGTGTCTGTGGGAGTCTGGGTGTTGCTACTGAGAGAGAAATACAGGGTGCTTGTCAGAGTAAAGGAATCTTCACTGAAAATGTGTCCTAATTGAATAAGTTATAGTGAAGTAAAATAGGCTTAATTACTTGTGGACAGTGCAGAATTCTAAATGATTTATTAATCTATACACTTTTTAGAAGTTTAAAGTTCTAATTTTTTCTCTCAGTAAATTTACTTTAAAAGAATGGGCTTCTCAGAACTTTCTTGTGTCTGTCCCTGTTGACATAGAAATGTTCCACTGTTTCTTGAGGTTATGCTGTAACTATTTGGAGTAAGCTCTGTGCTGTGTCTGTGTGTGTGCCCCATGCACGTGGGGGAGGAGATGGAAGAAGAGGGGCGGGTGGAGAATGGAGTTCTTTCCTGGTTCTGACCAGCCAGCCTCATGTCCCATCTTCATTTCTAAACAGATGGCCTTGTTCCTCTTCCTCACTAGTTATGTACTTACTATAAAAGCTAACCTCTCCTCTACCCTGTGGGGACAAGTTGGCCAGATGTGTCACAACAGCGGCTATCTTAAGAGTAAACCCAGTGTAACTTAAAACTGATTTTCAAATCCTTTCGGAGACAACCAGAATTGTCTGAGGTCACATACCGAGAAGTCAAATTAATTCACTAAAATCCCCTTTAATTGGAAAATGTCAAAGCTTGCCATACCATGTTTGGGTGGAGGTGAGATGTCAGATATTAGAAGGGACATGTCAGCCTCAAACCTTTGGTTGTGTCACTTACAGATGGCTCCTTGGAAATGCAGACTTACGTTTCTAGGTGGTAGCATTACAGTTCTATAGGTAAAGCTGACTTGGTTGCAGGTTTGGGCCATTGGATCTCCTAACCTTCGAGTTTTTTCTGTCTCAGCAAGCCTTAGAAAACAGTGGGCTGTCTTCAATTCCAGCTGCAGCACACCCCAGCGACGCCAGCCACCCCAAGAGCTCCACCGTGCAGGGTCAGGACCCGGAACTTCCCGATGTGCCCAGTGAGCCAGCTGACCCTATAGATGCGGAGCCAGAGAAAGAACAGGAGAGCCCAGAGAAGCCGGACAAAAGGGAGAAGAAGCTGATAAAGAAGAAATCACCATTTCTACCTGGTAATTTCAGTGTGCTTTAACCTTTGGATGTTTGCATATTTTGAAGAAATGTCTTTCTTTTTCTTCTGAAGGTGATGTTTGTTGAATGTTCTGATAATGTCTACCTCATAGTATTCGTTTGATATTTAAAATTGAAAACCAGGAGATAAATTTGTTAAACTATCTCTTTTCCATGGGCTGCCTTCTTCCCATGATTGGAGTCTCCCCCTGACTCATTCCAAGGGCTTGACCTTAGTTGTCACTGACCCTCCTATGCTCTAGCCCTTCTTGCCTCTGAGGCTGCACATTCTGGTTACACTGCTATGGCTGCCTCGGCCAACTCTTCCCTTCCTTCCTCCAAGTGATGGTGCCACCATCGCTGACCTGGAAAGCACAGCCCCTCCACTCTAAAGCCCCAGCCTTTCCCTTACACTCATTTCTGCTTCTTGGCCTTTGAGCCTCCGTAATCTGCCCCACAGGTATGTCCTGTCTTCCTGCCCCTGCTCTCCTGACAGTAACGTGGGACTCCTGCTGTTCCTCAAGACCTCATCTCTTCTGCATGCCATGTTTCCCGGCTGCTGTACATTAGGAAGGCCTTCTTCCTTCCCTCCTCGCATTCCATACCCACATTCCTGTGGGCGGCCCTCCTCACAGAAGCTCCCTGCAGAGGGCTCCTCTCCTCCTTTCTCCGTCCTGTGGTCTCTGTTAGTGGTTGTGCCAGTGGAGTAACTTGTGTTCCTTTCTGAATTCCCTGCTCCCTCAGCATGGCTCTTTGCATGGGGGCAGGGTTACTACATCTTTCTTGAGTAAATAGTTTATTTTCTTTTGGGCAGAAGCATTCCCATGAAAATATTTTCTTAGAGGCTCTAACTCTCTACCTCCCCCAGTTGTCTTGGGGGAACAAGGGCTTTCTTGCTACACAGTGTGGAATGATGTTTTCATCTCTGTTCACTTCTGAGAATGTATTTCCTTGTTAACAGGTGGTTGTGAAATCCTCCTTTCTCAGCCCACACAGCACTGTAGCCTGCTCTCCTTTCCCCTGGATCTGCCCTTTCCCAGGGGAAAGTGGACAGTGGAATTTGAGCAGTTTTTCATCAGGATTTTCCTAGTAGCGAGGAGGCAGGAAGGAAAAAGGGCCATTTGCACATATTTGTGTTATGACAGGACAGCCTTGCAGGTCACAAGGTGCTTGCATTTTGAATATCTATTCTCCATACACCTGTTGAATGAATGGAGATCCCCAGCGGGGTGGAGCCTTTCGTCTGAGTTAGCACTGGCTGCTGTCTGTATTCATCATGCCAGAACCTCTGAAGGTGTTCTGACATGCTGCTGGCATCAGGCCCTTCTCCGGACTAAAGGCCAGACCTGCTTCCTGCAAGTCCAGGTAGCAGTGGCTCCTCAAACTGAGAAAGGTGGGCTTCATCCTGCTGCCTCTCTCAGCTCTCCAGGAGCTGGGATCAACTTCTCTCCTACGCTGAGCATTAAACAGATTTCAGAGTGGAGTTCTGGTCCACCTTACCTATAGTATTGTAATAGGGAGGGTTGTGCTCACAGAGTTCGTAAAGATTCTACAAGTTAATTTTTGAATAAATTAAATACATGTTTACAGTATTCAGCAAGGTTTTGCAGTTCTAGTAAATTTTAGATTTAATTTTTCATTTCTGTCTATCACTCCTTTTCCCTTTATTTTTCTATATGACACTTTTTATTTTGGCCAGTATTTTCTTTCAAATTTACTATGTAAAATAGACTTTTTGAAATAAAAAATGTGTAACATTGGTGCTTTTAAATCAGTTAATTTATGAAATCATTAAATCATAACGATTCATAAATCATTCAATATCTAGGACACACATTGATGTTGAAATAATTTAAAGAACTGTAGTTGCAATGTAGCAAAAAATTTGCTTTGTTTATTATATTTCCCCCATACTTTGTGTCCACACACAGAAAAGAAAATTAAAATTTTCAAACATTTTCTATTCAGTAGTTAAAAAAAATACACTGTTTTTCACCGCTCTGGTCTTTATAAAGGATTTGAGTTAAAGTTTTAAATAATAAAAATTAAGGTACCAGGATAACTCTGCTGTATGTTTCAACAATGTTTTTATACCAAACAATTTGAATTAGCATGCAAACAGCTTCTCTTGTCACATATCTGTATTTGGGGGAAATTATTCCCAATGTATAGAAAAATCCCATATACTGCAGTAAGCTGAAGGCAGTGTTAAAAAGACCAGTGTGAATGACAGGGAAAAAAGTGCTTCTTTATGAAATGTTGCATTCCTGATGCTGATGTGGGCACGGGAGACTCAGTCCCTAGGGTTGGCTCTCTGGAAGAACCCTTTTAGGTAATTTTTAAGAACTTTGGCATCAGGCCCTTTCTGGAGCTATCTGCATGGAGGGCAGGTGTTCTCATTGAATGTACTGCACACATTCTGGCCATTTGAAATGGATGGTTTCCAGGGGCCCTGTACACACAGGTGAAGTGATATTGTTTATACACCTGCCTGGCACAGGTGTACTGAGGGTGCTAGGGCACGTGTGGAGAAGCTGCGCCTCTAAACTAATCAGCAAACCCGCCTGTCCATCTTCATGTCCCTGGGTTCTCCTAGCTTTGGTCTCTGCCATTGGATCTGGAATTCGACTGCCCTGAGGTGACAGTGACATTCTAGGAACCTCACACCGCCTGACTGTTTGCAGGAAACTGAGTGACCCTCCCTAAAGAGCAGACCGTCCTCTGCTTCTGCTCGGCGGACAGCACTTCTGATCTGCACGAAGTAGAGCCAGGGCTGTGTTGTAACCAGGTTCCTGCACCTGGTCCCTAGGAATGAGCTCCCGGAGACCGCAGCTCCACATGTGCTCTGAGGTGGGTGGGTGAACAAGACTCTGCTTTCTCTAGGCAGATAGTCATGCTGCCTCCCCCTGCTGAGGGCTGGCAAAGACTTTGTAAACAGTCCAGATACGCTGCTGGTTCCGTGGGCAGGGGGGGCAACATGGCCCACACAGGCCGCTAGAGACGCCTGCCTTCCTCACCTTGTGCTGTCAGTTTTTAGAATTTAACTTCTACATTAGTGTCCAGAAAGCTCTGCTGTGTGTGTGTGATTATACCACTACACCATGTTCCCATGAGGGCAGGCCCGTATCTGCAGTGGCCTGTGGCACACGGTGAGCACGTAGTGTGTGCTCTGCTTCTGGGGGAAGTGATGTGGTCTCAGAATGTACCTCGACTTTTGCATTTACTGGCATCTGACCTTGGGCAACCTAGTTAACCTTGAAAATGTCAGCTTTCACCTCTGGAAAGGGGGCAATGGTAGAATAAAAGGAAGAGAATTGAGGAAGTCCATGTAAAGTATGTAGAATGGTGTGACACATAGGAAGTGATTAGTGAATACAGATAATTCAAAATTATTTTGTAGATAGGTGAAACTTGCTCATGCCACACAATTCAGAAGATACAAATGGTATACAGTGAGAAGTCCCTTGGTCATCCTTGTCCTTTACCCATCCTTCCCCAAGGCAGCTGCTGTCACTGGGGTTTTTTTCTGTGTCTTTTACACAGGCCTGTGCATATTATTACATGTTTCATACTATTGTTTTTAGCAGGATGGGTGGCATACTGTATATTATTTTGCAGTTTACTTTTTTCTACCTATCTTATTTTATAAAATGCCTGGGTCCTAGCCCATTTCATGGATAAATGATGTTCAGGTTATGTGCAGTCTTTGCTAATGCAAACATGCTGCAGTGGATATGTTTGTGGCTGTGTGGTTTCACACATGTAAATGCATCTGTAATGCACATCAGCGGAAGTGTCAGAGGTTGTACAGGCTAAGCCCTATAAAGATTGCTCTAAGGTTTTAATTTTGAAATAATGTTTGGCTTCACTGAAATGTTCCAAAAACAATACAAAGAATACTCATATGCCTTTCATCTAGATTCCTCAAGTATTAACATTTTCTTACATTTGCTTGCTCTTGACCTGGGTTTTCCCTCAATTTTCTGAGTGACCTGCAGATATAGTTAATACCCCAGTAACTCTTAACTTCTTCAGTGTGTATTTCCTATGACCAAGGACACCAGTCTTGCATACCTTTAGGGCAGTCATCAGCATCAGGGTGTGAAAGCTGATCCAGCCTGCAGACCTGATTTATTATTTGTGTTACTAATGTGCTTGATTAACAAAAGAAAAAAAATGTAAGCACTTTAGAAATTTTGGTCAATATCACCAACTTCCTTACTTGGAGTCTTTGGGATTCACATGCCCAACAACATAGGAGCACCTGTCTCCTCACAGGGAAGAGATTGTTATCAGAGCTCTGGGATCCTTTTACTCCTCTCCTGGGTTAAAACCATTCTTATTGTGGCTCTGATTTCATTTCTTAGAAGGAGTAAGGTTGAGCAGCTTCTCATGTTAGAGAGCACCTGTGTTTTCCATTGGAGGGACTTGATTTTTATTTGCTGTGATTAATATACGAAGGATGATAGTATCTTGTGAGCTGTATTTATAGTACATGCCCCTTTCTGATTTGTTTGCCTTTGTGTATGTGTTTTTGTTTCTTTTTTTGTTTGTTTTGTTTGCCTTTTTGAGTTAAAAGGGCGAGTTTGTTTTTATATAGCCAATTGGAGAGAAATATTTTGTTTTCATATAGCCAAATTGGTCAATGTTTTATGACTTTTAGACTTGTGTAATAGACTTCACCACTGACATTATGGATAGCAACCTCTTTTATCGAACAGTTTCATACTTTCATATTTTAAACTCAATCTTTGACTCAACCTTATTTTGTTCCTAAGTGAGCACCCAGTGTACAAACACGTTTATGTTGTGGTTTCCTCACTGAAGTGCAACGCCACCTTTACCATCTGTTATCCTCTCAGACCTGTGTGGGTCTGCCTGGACTTTATTCTACCTCACTAATCTGTGTTTTTATTCATGTGTTGTGGTACTGAATGGTTTTAGCGTTAATAGGGAGCCCAGTCCTTTCTTGCTGCATTTTTTTGAAAGTGTATTTTTGACTGTTATCGCATACTTTTTTTCTCATATCTACTTTAGAATCATCTGCTAAACTTCCACAGCTGTAGTTCTAAAAAAGTCCTATTGATATTTGTATGTAAGTGATTTAGCCAGGGAGATTTGATGCCTTTATAATTTTAATCTTTGTACCAAAGAATAGAGTGTGCACTTTCATTCATTCAGATCTTTTCAAGTTTTAGTTGTATTTTAAAATTTTCTCCTGGGTTTAGTTTGCAGATATGGAGAATGCTGACTTCCATGTATTAAAACATGGGCCTTTTTCTGAGATTTAGTTTTATGGGTATGTTATATCATTTGTAAATAATGATTTTATCTTTCCCTTATAGTTTATATAGTATGTCTCTTTATCTTACCTAATTTCATTGGCTAATATTTCTAAACACCATAAATTAATAGCAGTAATAGTGGACTTTTTCCTGACTTTAATTAGGATTGCTCTATTTTTCTATTAAGTCAAATGAATTGGGATCTGTTTTATTCATCTCCTCCTGTTTTTAGAAAGTTTTTGGTAGTTAAGACTAGATGTTGAACTTTAGTAAAAGCCTTTTTATCTCAACAATGATTATAACATATACTTTTTCTTTTAAAATTTGATAATACATTTGAAGAGGAAGGCTGTTGCCCACCACCCAGGAAGGTTGCCATGAGGAATGCGGCTGTGGTTTTCTCCATCTTCCTAAAGTTGGTCAAAGGGCCGGATCTGGCTTCAGTTTTCCATTGTAGCCCTGGATGAGCCAAGCAAATGTGCAGGCCAGATTTGTAACTGCTTCATCTATTCCCACAGATAATTAGAATCTGATGACAGTCTTATCTTATGTAATTAAAGATAGGTTCTCATTTTTGTTTGGAAAACATTTGATTTTCCATGATGATTTACTAATTTTGGCTAATAGTATTTCCTCTTACCTTGTTATACCTTGCTTTTTTTATTTGTCATGAAAAGACGTTTATATAATTATTCTACTTTCTTGAATTAATTTTTCCTATTAATTTTAAGCAGTCTTAAGTTTTAGTCTCCCTTAATACAAGCAATATGATCATAAACTAAATGTCTTTTTCTTATTTTGAAATCATTTCCCTGTTTCCTACTTTTTCTCCTCATAATTGTGTTCTTCTTATTTCCATTGTTTTACTGTTTTTTTTTTAATGTTATTTTTCATTCATTTTCCTAACCTATGTTAATTAGTCTTGCAAAGAGCAGTGTGTTCAGGAAAATACATGTTCTCTCCCTACAGTCACTCGCACAGAGGAGAGTTCCTGGTATTTACTGGTAGCACGGAGGAGGAAACACGGGATTTTCTTCTTCCTGCTAAAACTACGTTCATGCGGCAGATTCTCGAATAACGTCATTTTGTTACAATGTTGATGAGGGAAAATAACCGGATTCCCGGCCAGGCCCGCAGGCTGTGCGGTTGGGTTTTCCCATGTCTGCGTGGGCTATCTCTGGATCCGGTTTCCTCCCACGTGCCAAAGCTGTAAACGTGATGTGCGGTGCCTGGCGTGTCTACACTGTCCAGTCTGAGTGAGCATGGGTGTGCATGAGCGTGACCCTGTGATGGAAGGATGGCCTGTCCAGGGTGGCCCCACCTGTGCTCTAAGCTCTCCGCCGCCTGACCCTGAACTGGAATCAGTGGGTTGGAAAAGGATTATCTTACTTGTTTTTGTTAATTTTTCTTAAATGTACGATAGTTCACATTTATTTCACTGTTTAATACTAGAATGATTTGGGTCTTAATTTGGAAGTTTGGTGATGTGTTTTTGACCAGAAAAGTGCTATAGGAATCTGACTCGTTAGCCTGGGGTGCGGTTGGTTTCTTTGTAGTGATTTGGCTTTAAGTCACATAAACCTGTTAGCATTAAGTGAAGTCTTACTATACAGACAGAGTTAACATAAAGAGCTAACGTTTCCTGGTGAATTTCATTAACTTTAATTGATTTTAAGTGGGTTCTATACATTGTATGTCTATGTCACATGAATAAATGTTTAAAATTTAAAAATAAAGTATTCTGCTGAATTTTGTTTTTAATTTTTTTGTATACTTTACAAATCATTTGGTTCTTATAGTTCCATAAATTCTACTTGTGATTTTGTTTTCTAGTAGGAATAGTTTTAAACCTGATTCAGAGTTGAATATTTAGAGTTACAAAAGAATCTTTTGATTTTGATCATGTTATATATATTTTTCATAACTACGTATTAGTTACCTTTTACAGCATAAGGACTTATCACTTCTGAATTATTTGCATTTTTATTAGTGATATTGGATAGGCGCAAATAGTACATCATTCCTTCTCAAGTTGAGTCAATTTTGGAATCACTGTTTTTAACTCACATTCACAATGGATTAAGTCTGCAGCTAACTCTCGACTTAGTCACATCACCTGTCCAGTTAGCCCTCTTGTCTCGTACTGGCTATGCTTTCCGTTCTTGGGACTGTTAGGATTTTCTGCAAGATTAAATCATATCTCCTACAAATCGCAGTAACGATGGAAATTTCCACCATTTCCATAACTGATCATGTATCTTCCGCTGTGGCGAAGAGAATTGGTTTTTTTTTACAGTTGCGGGGAGCTGTTCACTCGACCCTAGAGCAGCAGTTCTCAACCTGTGGGTCGCGACCCCTTTGGGGGTCCAACGACCCTTTCACAGGGGTCGCCTAAGACCATCGGAAAACAAATATATAATTACATATTGTTTTTGTGATTAATCACTATGCTTTAGTTATTAACAATTTGTAACAATGAAAATACACCCTGCATATCAGATATTTACATTACGATTCATAACAGTAGCAACATTACAGTTATGAAGTAGCAACGAAAATAATTTTATGGTTGGGTCACAACGTGAGGAACTGTATTAAAAGGGCCAGAAGGTAGCAGTGGTTCTCAACCTTCCTAATGCCACGACCCTTTAATACAGTGGTTCTCAACCTTCCTAATGCCGCAACCATTTAATACAGTTCCTCATGTTGTGGTGATGCCCCAACCATAAAGTTATTTTCGTTGCTACTTTATAACTAATGTTGCTACTGTTATGAATCGTAATGTAAATATCTGATATGCAGCATGGTCTTAGGCGACCCCTGTGAAAGGGTCGTTTGACCGCCAAAGGGGTTGCGACCCACAGGTTGAGAACCGCTGGCCCTAGGGCCATTAGGCGCCTTGATACCTGGCATCTCACAAGCTGTCTCACTGCACTGCAGGGTCCATCCGCGAGGAGAACGGGGTCCGGTGGCACGTGTGTCCCTACTGCACCAAGGAGTTCCGGAAGCCCAGTGACCTCGTGCGCCACATCCGCATTCACACGCACGAGAAGCCTTTCAAGTGCCCACAGTGCTTCCGGGCCTTTGCAGTGAAGAGCACCCTCACTGCGCACATCAAGACGCACACGGGCATCAAGGCCTTCAAGTGCCAGTACTGCCTGAAGAGCTTCTCCACGTCCGGGAGCCTCAAAGTGCACATCCGCCTGCACACAGGTGCGGGGGCGGGGCCGCCATGCGCGCAGAGCCACCGAGCGCCTTCAGGACTTCTTTTCCTTCCTTAATCCTGTTTGTGGATGGCGTCTGTAGGCTAGGCATGAGGTCCGTACTGGCGGAGAAAACCCACGTGGCTGTGGTCCTGTGGCTGCCGGCAGCAAGAGGGGGGTCAAACGCAGGGCTCGGGAAGGGGCACATGAGAGCAGAGAGGGAGAGAGACCACCTGTGGGCAGCGGCGTTCAGATTTAGACAGTGGGCCTTGGTAAGGAAGAGCAGCGTCCCCCTTTGCGAAGACCTGACCGCTGCAGCCGGCACCCTTCAGGCAGGGAGCTTTGTGCTGGCCTCAGGCAGGGCGGACACCCACGTCTCCTCTAATGTTCAGATATTTTGTAACCAGTATAAGTCAGAAACACTTATATTCGGGCTCCAGTTTTACTTATAACAGCTTTATTGAGATATAATGCACAGATCATAAAACTCACTGTGTTAAGGTGTACAGTTCAGAATTTTCACACATTTTTATCACCCCCAAAAGGAACCCTGGACGGTTAGCAATAACTTGCCTTACCTGCCTGGGGTTCCTGGGCTAAACTGACCATGTGAATAAGTGTTTGAAAAAGCTGAAATTAGTCAATTTTGTTATATGCCCTTCTCTGGAATCTGCATTTTCATTTACCAGTAAAATTGCAAAAGAAGGAAATTTCCTTCAGAAAAGGAAAGTGATAGTACAATATGTTATTACTATCAATAGCAGCAGCGGTGTTATTATTTACAATCAATAACAGCTTGTTTTCTAAATGCTGGGTGCTCCCTAAACACTAGTTCACACAACCCCAGCAAAGCCCAGATGCAGGCATGTGACTCCAGGCCACAGATTACGGCTTGAGAGAGAACAGTTCACACTAATATTCGTAAAGACTTCTAGTACTTTGATTATCCGTATTTTACTTTGTCCTGAAAATAGTATATTTTTTAACTTAAATGCTTTTATTACATGCCTTAACATCTGTAATATGCATTGTTTGCAAACTAGGGAAAAGAAGTGATTTATAATAGTCAGGAAACTATAAGCATGAAATGACAAATTGAATGTTCAAGTCAGTAGTAAGATTAAAATTTTATATTGGCATTAATTAAGATGTATTTTCTTGAAATAATTGTATGGTTACTTTTGTTTTTATTAGGAGTCAGACCTTTTGCTTGTCCTCACTGTGACAAAAAATTCCGAACCTCGGGCCATAGGAAGACACACATAGCCTCCCACTTCAAACACTCGGAGTTGAGAAAGATGAGGCACCAGCGGAAACCCGCCAAGGTTCGTGTCGGCAAGGCCAGCGCTCCAGTCCCTGACATTCCTTTGCAAGAACCAATCCTCATAACCGACGTAGGTAAGGTTCCCTTCCCTCTGGGACCTCTGAAGGCGTATGTCATGCTGTGTATGGTCACAGCCTTATGTAGTTTTAGGCTGATATTAGTGCAGTTCTTGTAAAGCTTTGCTGTGTTATGGGCTGGTATATTACACACTTACAGTTTAGATTCTAGTTCTGTTTAAACTGTTGCTCAAATTATGTTCTTGGTTAGAAGAGAAATATGTGTAAGTGAAAGTATTAGTATGTTCCACTGAAGAAAAATTTCTTCCTGAATGGAACTCTCAAAGCCCTAGCTGGTTTGGCTCAGTGGATAGAGTGCAGGCCTGTGGACTGAAGGGTCCCAGGTTTGATTCCGGTCAAGGGCACAAGCCCAGGTTGCAGGCTCGATCCCCAGTAGGGGGTGTGCAAGAGGCAGCCAATCGATTCTCTCTAATCAGTGATGTTTTTATCTCTCTCTCCCTCTCCTTCCCTCTCTGAAATCAATAAAAATATATTTTCTAAAAAGGGTAGGTGGTCATTATGTGAAGTGCACTTTGTATTTTGATGTTTTTATCTTAGAATTTTTACCTGGTGTGTAATGGATTATTTATTTGGGCTGCTTTAATCTTTGAGCTTCTGAGGAACTATAATTCTTAGGGGATTTGATTGCTTAGAGCATAAAAACGGATCAGCACTCCCATGGTAGTTAGAATACTTTGATATCCTTGTCTGGTTTTATTAGCTCACAAAAAAAAAACAGACCAATTTTACTGAATATGTATTTAATTTTCACCACAGTCTGTAGGTTCTCAGTGGTTTGTGTTATTCCTGAAAAGTCCGGACAGATTAAACATTTATTTAATGGCCCTAGAATTATCCTTCATGCTTGAAGGTTATCCTCATATTGCCATTTTTTTCAGGTGGCCATGAATCAAGTTAAAAACCTATGGGTTTCTTAACTTTAAGTTTATAAATCCTTAAATTGAGTGAACTAGAGTTCTGATTCTCCAGACTTTTTCCAAAGTTAAAAATGGCACATATTTTACTCGTTGGCTTCACAGATACCTGCATTTTATACCAAATTAGTGGAAGCGGAATTCAAAAAGGAAATGATTTATACAGATAGCTTCACACTGTAAAATGTCATAAATACTTCTTTTCATGCTTACCTTCTTTGTTATGCGTCTGTCTCTTCTCTCAGACTCTGGGCTCTTTGGGGGCTAGTATCTAATAGATGTGACTAATAAACTTTGGGAGACATTTGATAAAAACACGTCAGAGAGGATTTTAGCATAGTTTAGTTTCAATTATTTGACTAAATTGGGAAATGAGATGTCCCAGTTCAGTCTAGTTACTTAAAACACAGTATTTTTACATTGAAACTGTCACTTTGGAAAGTATTATAATGCATTAGAAATAACTTTTACAGCTGCATGGGAACTTAAAAACAGTCTTTCCAAAACTTCTCTCTATCTACCGATGTAAACACTGGGTCCTAGAGAGAGTTGTAGCGATACTAATGAGTATATGACCAGCTTGTGCTCAGGGCAGAGCTGGTTCCTAGGTGTTCTGGGTCTAGGCTAGGCCTGTGTTGAGTGAAACTCAAGCCTCCCACATCCATTAGCACCACCCTCGGCATAGGAGTTTGGAGAGTGCACCTGGCTTTTCACAGTCCTGTGTCATGCTGTCTAGCACCAGTAGTCTGTAGCAGCCTTTAATTTACTGCACTTTAGGGCTCTAGACATGCTGCCCGATTCCTTCTCAATGTTCTTTTTTCTAATTTAAGAATGAAATTTTAAGTAAAACGTGCAGATTGAGGAAGTATTGGAGTTGGGTGATCATAAAATTCTGACCAGTAGCTGGCAATTGAAAGTGACCTGAGAAGACAGATCTCACAGAGGAGAGGACTTCATTTTCACAGAGGAGGGGACTTCATTTTTTTTTTTTTTTTTCAGATTAAGGTCCACAGACTGCCTGTTTTCCTATCCATTCAAATTTTTACTCCAAAGTCATCTTGACATAGTTAGAGTGGGCTCGGACAAACTTTTTGCCAGAATCTATCATTTAAAAGCATGGCTCTTAAATGTAGCTGTTTATGGATTTTCAAATTATATACATTTAGGATATGTCTATTTTTTTAAATCACCATTTTTCTCTCTGTATGATTATTTTGTGTGTGTGTTTAAGTGTAATATTTTACATAGCATAGATGTTTGAAATATCTTTTCTTTGAAGTGAGCCGGGCTTTGGTTATCTATTGTTTTAAGCCTTGATCTTCCAAGTTTATATTTGTGTTTTAATCTTATTGGTTTTAGTACATGTATCTTGCTTTTCTTTAACACATTTGTCTAACCTAGTGTATCAAATTTATTGTATGTGTTTTTAATCATATATACTTATGTTTGTCATTTTGCAATATTTATATTCTCTTACTATTTGCAATATATGAACACAACTGTAAGACTAAGTTGTATTTTCCTCAAGCATCATAATAAGATGAAGCTGTTTCTTCTGTTACTATGGAAGGGATTATAGGACATTTTAAGGATACTTTTAGTTTATTTTTGGAATATATTAAGTGAAATTTATTCATGCCTTTCTTTGAGATTAGCAATTTCCTTTAAAAAAAAACCCAAAACCATATTAAAGGACTGATGGATAGTCTAGTAGAAATGACATATTATAACCAACACCTTAGGACTTTTATGTATGTTTAATTCACCCTTAATTTTTTTCTTCAAAAATTGAGACCTTATCATTATCCTAACTTTTTAACAGAACTTAGTGTTTGTAAAATTATTAGAGGTGAAAAACAAAGCATCTAAAAACTGAGGCCTATTATTTTACTTTCTTTAATAATTCAAAGTAGGGAACCCCCTTGCCCCTTGCAAAGGGCTTTGAATCTTCTTGTGCCTGGGCACCAGTCCAGAGAGTCCATGTCTGGGGGAACATGAGATCACAGTTGTACATACTAGGTTATCATCCATCATGACTGTGCATAGTTAGAGGTGATGAAAACATCCAGCAGTACTGCATGTGATGTCCTGAGCATATCGGTGCAGTGGGATTCCTTGCAGACACCTAGAGGATGAGGAGGAGGCTGTCATATGCAATGACTTGAACAGATGTTAATGAACAAGTAATTAATTACAGAGCAGCATGTGTGGTTGATCCCACTTGTGTTTGTAGGTAACAAACCCTTTTGTTCAACTGTGCACTAAGCTGTTCATTTACGGTTTTCTCTGAGGTGTTCCTGTCAAGCTCTTTTGTTTTTCTTTGTATGATCTTCTGAATTATTTCAGAAGAGCCCAAGAATTTGCAGTTGTGGAAGGAATTGGATGTGAAGGGATTTGGCTGGTGTAGTGCAGGCCTGTGGGGAAGGAAGGGAAGATAATTGGGAGACAGAGACGGCCACCCCTCAGGGCCAGGCCTCCTTAGCTTCAAAGAATGGGTCCTTAGGAATGAGACTGAGAGCCTCAAGAGAAGCATGTGACCAGAGACATTGTACTGTGGAAAAGAAATTATGAATCAGACATTTTGTGAGGTTGTTTATGATGGAATACACTGGTTCCAGAAGCCAAAAGGGAAAGAATTAGGAGAGCAGTGGGGGCCAGGTGGGGTTTGTGCTGCAGAGGTAGGTAGCTGGAGGGGGATCCTGCACCAGTGTGGGGGTACCACAGAGAGGAGGGACACCTGTGGGTCTTGTGAGGGTGCTGAGCTTGAGGCTGGGTGTGGATTGCCAGTTTGCACTCTCCAGGTAAGACTCTGAGCAGGTTGTTTCAATGAAGGTGAGATGTCAGGGCTGACAGTGCTACTGCCTGTCTGTGTCTGAAGGAGCTACACCAGTGGTTCTCAACCTTGGCTGCACATTAGAATCACCTGGGAATCTTTTTAAAATCCTGATTTCTGGGCCTCATCCTCCGGAAATTCTGTTTCTTTGTTATGGGGTGAGGCCACAACGTTAGTAACAAAGAAACAGAATTTCCAGAGAATGAGCCCCAGAAATCAGGATATTAAAAAGATTCCCAGGTGATTCTAATGTGCAGCCAAGGTTAAGAACCACTGAGCTACACCAAGGATGGCCTAAAGCCTGCGGGAGGAGAAAGTTGGTTTTAGGGAAAGAATTGAGCTCTCATAGTGGCTGGTGGGGAGGTCAGGGACATTACCCATTAACAGTCATCTCGTGGGAGTGGGTGGTACAGCTGATGGGAGACTTTGGGCCAACTGGGGTCATGGCAGAGGGCTGCCTGTCGTGGGGGGCGGTGAGAGCCATGGTGGGTTCACAGGTCACTCTTCTTATTGCTCCTGTAAACTGCAGTCACTCAAGTTCAGGTGTGTGTTCCTCCTGAAGTGCCTCAATAGCTCAGGGGCTTGATCAGGACCCAGTAGTTCATGGTCAGCCATGGGAAGCCTCTATCCATGTAAAACCTGAATAACTTACGTTCTTCAGTTATTAATTTTAATGAAATGTCTGTGAAAAATGCTGACTTTTTCAGAATAAAAGGTCATGTTAGTATCATTTCTGTTTTGCATTTATTATAGGACCTAGTGTACAGTCTTTATACTACTGAGCAAATAAGGGATTTAAATTCCAATTAACCTCAATTTTGGATGACCTTATGTAAATTTCATGCCAACAAATGATCATACAGAAAGTAATTGTAGATATCTGTTAAAATTGGCTGTAGAACCAAAGGAACTAACTGACGATATAGGTATTCTTTCTGTTGAAAAACTGTGTATTTTATAATAACTTTATGAGTATTTCCCCATTGGTATTTTTTAAATAGCCAGTTCCTAACACAGTGAAAAAAGCATTTAGTTGCCATATTGGAATCTATACTTTTAACTCCTCAGAATGTTCATCTTCTGGGTAAAACAGATGCTTTTGACATTTACCTTTCTTAGTAGCACTGAATTACTCCTGATTTTCTTTTGGTTTGTAGGTCTTATCCAGCCCATTCCAAGAAACCAGTTTTTTCAAAGCTATTTTAATAATAATTTTGTAAATGAAGCAGATAGACCATACAAGTGTTTTTACTGTCATCGTGCATATAAAAAATCTTGCCACCTTAAGCAGCACATCAGGTAAGGTTGCACATTAGAAAATGGAATCTGGGATAATGACAGTGATCTGGTGGTCTGGTGACTGGTAGAAATATGAAAGGTGGATGGCTATGTTAGCCTTTGGAATTTCAAGTGTCACATTTGACCCTAAATATTTATTGGTAATTTATATTTTTATTCCTTAGTATCTTGACAAAATATTTTAGCCGGAAATTGCCACTGAATTTTATTTACACTCCTATTATATTTAAGTATTTGCAATTTCTAGGACATGTTGAAGAAGTATTTGCTTTGTTTCATTAGAATTATGCTCTTTCACATTTTTTCAGGTATATCAGAGTTTAGGTTGATTTTTGGTGCTAGCAATAATGAAAGGAAAGTAGAAACTTCACCAAGGGAGAACAGAAGTCATGAGAAAAGCATAGAGCCCAGAGAAGCCTGGGGCTCCAGTTTGTCTCAATTGCACATAATTGAGGCTGCATCTCGGGTGTTTTTGCTGGTGGAAGGGAGAGCGATGTCTGCTGCTTAATGAGACTCTGTGCAAGAGTGCGGTCTGAGTTACAAAGCATTTGAAAGTATCAGGAGTTCACTCATTCATTAACATACTTATTTGTTTTAGATCGCACACAGGTGAGAAGCCGTTTAAATGCTCTCAGTGTGGAAGAGGCTTTGTTTCTGCAGGAGTGCTCAAAGCACACGTCCGAACACACACGGGACTGAAGTCATTCAAGTGTCTGATCTGTAACGGAGCTTTCACCACTGGCGGCAGCTTGCGGCGGCACATGGGCATCCACAATGACCTACGGCCCTACATGTGTCCCTATTGCCAGAAGACCTTTAAGACCTCCCTGAACTGCAAAAAGCACATGAAAACCCATCGGTAGGTACAGTTCTGACGGTCACTCCAATAGCCCTTATAATTCCTTTTCGTGCTGAAGAGTGTTCTTGAGAAATAGTTGTCTTTGACTCCTGTGTTATTACTTCTAGTCTGAGGTGTATTGGCTAAAAAACTAATGTTAGTGTCTAAGGATTTATTGAGAACCACAGGCATTTTTAATTTTAATATCTAATATAATCCTGAGGTACTTCATATTGGGCTAAATATTCTGTAACTTCTCTGTTAAAACCGATAGTAACAAGATGTAATGCTAGACTATGTCTAGTGTAATTAATTAGGTAGTGAAGATTTCAAAAAGACAACAGTGGTCCACCCTATGATTCTAGGTATATCATCAGTGTATGGAATGGTTCTTAGTCTGTGTTGTTATTTAAAAGAATACACATTTTAGCCACCATATAAATCCATCATTAAAGTAGACATACATTTTTACTTGATGAGCGGGCTCTTTCATTTCTGAATGGAGTGATCCAGCCAACTCTGGCTGACCTGCTTTTCTGGTGGTATCTGGAGCTTGTTCAGTAGGTATTTCTGTGAAGCCACAGAATTCTGTTTGTAATGGAAAGCCTTGGTAAGGCAACATCCAAGGAGACTTTGAAAGTAAGAATTACCAGGCCTATCATAGCAGAATACTAACCCTTCTGCCCTTAGAACATTTACTTTTAGACAGTATTTTAACCCAGGGGTCTCTGCTCAGACATCACCTACAATACCAACCCCCAGTGTTAGAGTAAGTTAGCTGTGACAAGTTATCTGGTGTCACCCACCTGGCTACCTCAGCACACCTGACAGAATTGACCTTCTTGAGTGTCACAGGTGATTCCTTACCCCAGAAGTTTAACTGCTTCTGGAGACCATCTGGGGAATATGACATTGGTGGTGTCAGTCTAGAGCAGGGGTTGGGATGTCCAGGCCCGAGAAATCATTTGGTCTGGCCCTACCAAGGCAACCACAGGCAGGACTCGAAATTCAATAAATCTAAGAGCTTTTTTTATAGCAACATAAATTTATATTGAGTGAATTATATTAAGCGGATGATGTTATAAATACCCAAATGGCCTTTGGCAGAAAAAAGGTTTCCCACCTCTGGTCTAGAGGAAGCTTGCTGTTACATATCCAGTTATACTTTATTGCTTTTAGGGAAGAAATTACATGCTTCCTAGGCATTCAGGACCTGGGGTTTCCTAGGTTCAGGGTGCTCAAGCCACTGTGCTCTGCTCATGGCAGCCAGAAGCCTGATACCGTCCTGCTCAGAGGCGTGGAGCGTGGGCACCATCGTGCTCCGTGCGTGGTGAAGAGTATTTCCCTCTGTCAGGAAAACAGCCTTTGTAATGCACTCTTTGTGGTGGTGGTGATAGCACGGTAAGGCCCTTAGGTGTGGACTCAATGGCCAGCAACAAAGTTCCTGGGAAATAGGTCAGCATTTTGGCTGGGTCACCGCTGTTAGGTGGAATGTCACATTGGCCACTGCTTCTCAGGATTCCACAGTGACTTTAGGAGATGGGTGTGTGGCTAAGGTGGACAGTCTAAAGACTGGCAGGTCTACCCTTGCAGGGATGGCATTTCTCTCGGGGAGTGTGTGCACTTCAAACCTGCCAGTGAGCAGAGCAGCTGCAGTGTTTCAGCCCTTGTGGGAAGTGTGGTGATTCCTAAAGCACTGTAACACTGAAAACAGGTCTAAAAGGTTCCTGTAGTAAGAGCCATGAAAAAATCCCAAGCCAACAAACAGAAAACTGGCAGTACCATCTCCTTGCCTAGGGGCCTGTGGAGAAGACACGATACACCATGATGTCACTGTGCAGTCACTATTATGGTCTGTGTGACAACTAGGCCCCAAGTCCTCGCTATTTTTTATTATGTTCTTGTTCCCCTTCCTCAGCAAAAGTCATTGAGAGGTGATAATTTTTTTTTTTTTAATCCTCACTTGAGGATATTTTTTCCATTGATTTTTTTTAGAGAAAATGGAAAGGAGAGGAGAGGAGAAGGAAGAGGAGAGGGAGAAACATGGATGTGAGAGAGACTCATCAATTGGTTGCCTTCCGCTCATGCCCTGACTGGAGCCAGGGATCAAACCTGCAAACAAGGTACGTGCCCTTGGCCCGGAATTGAACCTACAACCCTTCAGTCCCAGCGCCGATGCTCTAACCACTAAGCAACCGGTCAGGGCAAGAAGTGATGATTTTTGATATCATGAAGTGAAAAGGTTTTGTTTGGAGCTACGAATGGAATTTGAGTTGGCAGGTGCCTAAAATTCTGGAATGGAACATAGGGAGCAGCTCTTTATGGGTCTGATAATGATGTCTTAGCAGACAGGTCACTCTTGTCTGAGATCATGTGTAGCCTGTTTAGCAGGTAATTGTTTCAGTTGTTTTTTAAGTTCTTTGATTTATTCACCTGAATTTATTGCTTAATTTTCTCTTTGACAGCGAAATTGTTGACGTTGATGAAAATATACTTGATATATTTTTGTATAGTAAAATCACAGTATTAACCTGTGTAATGATTTTGCAAAATAGCAGAGTGGCCGCATGCCTCCTGGTCTGCTCTGTGAAGCATCGGGTCATTGGTCACAAAGATGTCTGTGGCCCGGCTATGAGACAACAGGTCATAGGACTTGGTTCCTATCCATACACCAAAGTGTTTATAATATTAAAATCAGTCTGTAAAGGTGCTGTCTCATTTTGTACAATTCTTTTTCTGAAACTTTAACTCACTAGAATTTGTGTTGGGAGAGTTTTACTTTGAAACATGTGGCAGGTTTTTAAATTTTTTATTCACTTAAAAATTCTGGGATGTTGCCCTTCACTCTCAGTTTGCTGCCTCTGTGTCCCCATACCTGTCGAAGGCACCGAGGCAGCGTGATTGATTATTCTTCAGAATCATAACAGTATTTAATTTTTACCTGGATTACCATTGTGACTTCAAAATGAAAACATTTAAAGTAAAGATGTAACTTAATTCAGTTATTACGTAGTAGTAGTAGTAATTTTATGATTTAATAAAGCACAGATTTCTCCTGAGCCTCTCTACCTGTCCCTGCTTCAGCATCTAACTTGCTGCTCATGGTTGGTTTTTTGAAGCTATGAGCTTGCTCAGCAGCTACAGCAGCACCAAGAAGCCGCCTCGCTGGACGGCAGTGCCGTGGACCAGCAGGGTGTGCACGTGACCACTCAGATGCAGGTGGAGGTCCAGAGCGACGAGCTGCAGCCACCTGTGGACGCCGTCACTGCAAACCCTGATGCCATGCTCGACCTGGAGCCTCAGCATGTCGTAGGTGCAGAAGACACGGGGCTGGGCCAGCAATTGGCAGAGCCGCCTCTGGAGGCAGATGAAGGTACACATGTCAGGGTTTGACTTCTAGAACCATCGTGTAGTGCCTTAGCCCTCATTCTCACTCAGGTGCTATGGTGTCTCCATCTCTGACCAGGTCATAGAGTGTGGTGTGTCTGTGTGTGAGAGTTTGATGTGAGACAGGACTTTTTGATACCTGTCTTTCCTGTAACCTACCAGATCCCTTAGTATGTTGCAAAATGTTTCATTTCCAGTAAGTATCCATCTGTTAAATCATTGCTATTCTGGTACATTGCCATCCCAGGCTACTGCAGGTCTGCAAACAGTTTGTCACTGGTCTGCAAGGAACTCACGCTCCAAAACAACATGTTGCTTCCTCCGTCAACAGAGTCTCACTACGAAAATGTCAGCGCGACTGTGGACAGTGAGCTTAGTGCCACTGTAGATTGTATCTGGCTCAGGCTTCTCTCTCGTACAGGCCTGTTAGCAGGCTAGTCCGCTGGCCAATTTACTGTTTTGTAGATGTCCCAAAATATATTTAATCTTTGAGCAGGATTTTGTAGTTTGTATCCTTTCTGTTTCCTGGAAGAATGCACATCCACAAAGGTTTTAAGCAGTTGCTGGCTGGCTGCGTTTAGAACTTCACAGAAGACTGTCTGAATGTCCGGGTGCTGTGAAGTGCTCTGAAGCACAGGTGAAAGTGTTCAGATTGGTAGGCTGGAAATAACTTGCACTTCTTTTTGTGTTCTTGTTCCCAGACAGGTTTGTGGCTCCGCAGCTACCAGGGCACATGGACCAGTTTGAAGAGCAGGCTCCTCCGCAGCAGTCCTTCGAACCGGCTGGCTTATCACAGGGTAAGTGCTGGCTTCAAGTGGGGTTGTCATGCGTTGTGCTCACAACCTGGTGTTTCTTCTAAGGCCCTCTGATATCAGTGGTTTTAAACCAGAGAGTTTTTTGCATGACGTGTGTGTGTGTGTGTGTGTGTGTGTGTGTGTGTGTGCGCGCGCTCGCTCTTTTGTGGCACACTCACATTTTCTGGAAAGCGACTTTAACAACCATTTTATGTGCAGTATATAGCCAGGAAAAAGGGGCTGAGTAGAAATGGAGACTTAGGGGTAACTGGGTGTTGGCGGCGGGCTTGTGGGCCTCTGCACTGCAAGGCGTGTGCTGAGCACAGCCTCCCGCCTGTTCACAGATGATTCTAGAGAATCCTGGTAAGAACTTTCACTTGATTGCAACTCAGAAATAGCAACATTCCTATAAACATCTTTCGTTATAAAACTAACTTTTTTTGTGTGCCTTTTTTTGTGTAACTCATAATTTTTGTAGAACTCGTTCTCTAATTTATTTTAGATTTTACAGTAACGGATACATACAATCAGCAGACTCAGTTTCCACCTGTGCAGCAGTTGCAGGATTCTAGTACGCTGGAGTCTCAGGCCCTGTCCACAACTTTCCATGAGCAGAACCTACTTCCAGTTCCCAGCTCCGATCCTATGAACGTGGTGAGTATTTATGGCAGGGACACTTGTCCTTATTGAGCACATCCTTTTATTTATTTATTTTTTTATTGCTTAAAGTATTACAAAGGGTATTACATAGGTGTCCATTTTATCCCCCCGCCCTAGACAGTCCCCTAGCCTCCCCTATCCGCCAATGTCTTATGTCCACTGGTTATGCTTATATGCATGCATACAAGTCCTTTAGTTGATCTCTTACCCCCCTACCTTCTGCCCCGCAACCCTCCCCGGCCTTCCTGCTGCAGTTTGACAATCTGTTTGAGGCAGCTCTGCCTCTGTATCTATTATTGTTCGAAAGTTTATAATGGTCTCTATTATCCATGAATGAGTGAGATCATGTGGTATTTTTCCTTCATTGACTGGCTTATTTCACTTAGCATAATGCTCTCCAGTTCCATCCATGACGTTGCAAATGGTAAGAGTTCCTTCCTTTTTAGAGCAGCATAGTATTCCATCGTGTAGATGTACCACAGTTTTCTAATCCATTCATCTACTGATGGGCACTTAGGCTGTTTCCAGATCTTAGCTATGGTGAATTGTGAGCACATCCTTTTATTCTTCAGTGTAAGTATTTAGGATTCGCCTACTTAAGAGGGCATATTAACTGTTTATAATTAAGATTATTGTGTTAGCTGTGAAAACTTACATGTTTAGTATATAGGGCTTTCTTTTTCCTTAAAACTTTAATTTTACTAAAAGATTTCCTTAGCTTGATGTGGCTTTACCTTTTCAGTTAAACGTCAGGCTGGCCAGTGGAGTGCTGTATAATAACATCTGAAGAATATTATTACTTTAGTCACAAAACCAAACATTTTTACGTGTGCATTCTTAAACATGTTAGAATGAAAATATAATGAGTATTGACATATGAAAAATAAATATTTGAATGCATAATCTTAAAAACTTTATCTCTTAGTTAACTTGAAGACATTAGTTTTGGTTTTGATTTTTCCATTTTGGAAAATTTTCAGTAGTTGTAAAAACGATTGTCCAATCAATATTCTCACTATTTAAAAGCTTCTTCTGGTAGCCTCGCTGCCGCTGTGGGCTTGGGTTGGTGGGAGTGCTCTCCGTAGGCACATGGCTGCCCCTGTAGTATTCTGTTCTCTTTCTCCCGTGATTTTGTGATGATCCAGGAGATTTAATATTTTCAGAAAGTAGGCCTTTAAGTCACTGTCAGAGTAGAGTAGATGAAGGGTGATCTCTTATTAAGAACTCTTTTTGTGCTTGATTAAACTTTGTATTAAAATAGGTTAATGGGGAGTAAATAAAATAAGTGTTTTATAAAATTGGTGTAAGTGGTTTCTATTATTAATCTGGCCCAGTGACTGCAGTGAACTATTTGGAGTTTCTCCCTTTTAACTCCACATTTATGAATGTTCATTTTCTTGGTTGTTAGTTGTTTTGCATTTATTCATAGATATTCAGAGAGCCTGCTTTATACTTCTGTTAAATTTCAGACGGCTCCTTTGATTCAAGAGCCATCCCAAGAGGAGCTCGACCTGCCGCCGCCACGCCGCCAATTCCTGGAGGACAGTGAGGACCAGAGCCGGCGCTCCTACAGGTATACACACCTGCTCGATGGCCAACTAATACCGCCTGCAGCAGCTGCTGAGTGCAACTGCTTCACCAGTCCAAGGGCTCTGCAGTTTAACTCTCTTAACACCTCTGGAGATAGGTTCCATTATCATCCCCATTTTACAAATAAAGCATCAGGGACAAAGACATTTGCTTGCTAAAATTTCTACAGCTGGTAAGTGTCAGGGCCACAGTCTGGATGTAGTAGCCTCTCCCTGGCCTGTACATTTCTGCTCAGCTGTATCTTCCTGTCACCACTATAAGCCATTACTGTGTTTGCAGAAATAACTTAAATTTATATTGTGCCTTTCTGCCCAAGGCTCTCCTGTGATCTATATAAAACAACCTGCGTGCCAGGTACAATATGATTATAAAGACAGTTTTTAAAAATCCATTCATTTGCTCATTCTCCCTCCTTCCATCCACCCGCTCACCATCCACCCAGCAGTGTGTGCTGAGCAATCTCAAGGAATCACATACTGCTGTGGATGCTCCGAATACCTGGTGAGAAAAACAGACAAGGTTTATGCCTCAGCTCAGGCTAGGACAGTGAATAAAATACATGTGTTTTTATACAGTTAAACATGAGTATGTATGTAATAAGAAAGTGTATTGTCTTTATAGAGACTGTCTTGAGCTTCTAATATTTTAATAATATTATTTGCTTAAAATACTTTTAAAGTTTATAATTTTTTTCAGAGCCATTTAAGAAAAGTATATGTCTCATTATTTACTCTTAAAAAAGATGGGAGTTACCTTACCACAAATGAGTAGTCTTAATTCAAGCTTTGAAAATGGGTTAGTTTTGCTGTTATTATGAAGCTTATACTTTTTGGGAGGCCAAGGAAGTCCTTTGTTTTATTTTCATAGGATTTGTTTCTTGTACAAGATCGCAAGTGCTCTGAACTGGTGTTCTTATGCGTTAGAGTCTGTACTTTCAGAAGTGTGTCATCCTGAGGTCTTCATGAATTTGCAAATTCAAAAATATATCAGAGCAGGAGTTTGGAATCTGGAGTCTGTGCCCTCTTAGGGGGACACATAGATTAGCTTTGAGGGTCTGTGATGCTCTTAATGTTTCATTCACACTTTTATTTAGTCAATAAGTACTTGTTTGGTAATGTTTAATTTGGGGTTTTGCATTGGCATTTTAAGTGAGATAGTCTAATGTTTGGCCATGAACCCTCCGTGACATCGCCTGGGCAATCCTGCACGTCTAGCTTTGCACCCTTCATTCAGCCTTTATTAAGAACCTGTTAGGTGCCAAGCACTAGGGCTGGATTAGTGAGCAAAACAGGAGAAGCCCTCAGTCCTCTTGGAGTCGACATGCTAATAGATAAAAAGCTGAATGAAAGGAGGTGCAGCTGGTAAGTGACAGGGCCAAGGTCTGGATGCAGCAGCCAAATGAAAGGAAGTACACAGGGCCTGGAACGACACACAGGGCAGGTGCTGAGAGCCGTCTGTCCACATAGCTGACTGAGGAGTGATTGTTGCTGTCAAGGGGAGTGTGTGATTCTGGATCCATTTAGAAGGCATAACCTCCAGAATTTATGATAGGTAAAGATATGGGAGAAATAAGAGTTAGGGGTGGCCACTAGGTTGATCTGAGCAACTAGACTGATGGAATTACCATCCCTGGAAGGGGAAGACCCTCAGGTGAATGGGCTTGGGTGTCAACACCAGGACTTGATTGAGTGTCATTAGGATTGATATTCAAGGAATAACCTCACCAGGGCAGTTTCTAATACCAGATTGGAATTAAGGTGCGAGGTCTGGGCTGGAAGGACACATTTTGGAGTTATCAGGGTGGAGACTAATGTTTAAAGCCACAGTGCATGTCCATCAAAAAGAGAAAGGGCTCAAATATTGCACCCTTGGATGCTGCACTTCGGATGAGCGTGGTGAGGATGGCCAGCTATTGGGTTCTCACAGGGTCAGAGGTATATCCCCCAAGACATTGAGAACATGGAGCCTAGAATGTTAATTGTGTACTTCTTTTATCATATTACTAGAGACCCCGTGCACAAAATTCATGCACTGGGGGAGGGGAGGAGGGTGGAATCTCTCAGCCCAGCCTGCACCCTCTCACAGTCCAGGAGCCCTCAGGGGGGTGTCAGATATCCATGGGAGAGGCTCCTGCCACCGCCGCTGCACTTGCCAGCAGTGAGCCTGACTCAGGGCTTGTGGCTGAGCGGCACTCCCCCTGTGGGAGCGCACTGACCACCAGGGGGCAGCTCCTGCGTTGAGCGTCTGCCCCCGGTGGTCAGTTTGTGTCATAGTGACCAGTCATTCCCAGTTGTTCTGCTGTTAGAGTCAGTTTGCATATGACCCTTTTATTATATAGGATAGAGGCCTGGTGCACGGGTGGGGGCCGGCTGGTTTGCCCTGAAAGGTGTCCTGGATCAGGGTGGGGGTCCCGCTGGGGTGCCTGGACAGCCTGGGTGAGGCGCTGATGGCTGTTTTCAGGCTGTTCAAGTCCCTTCTCTCCCTGCCCCGTGGGGACCCTCACCCCATGGAGGTTTGGCCAGTGTGGGTGAGGGGCTGATGGCTGTTTGCAGGCTGGCCACACTCCCTTTAGGGTTGGGGGTCCCCACTGGGGCACCTGGCCAGTCTGGGTGAGTGGCTGAGGGCCATTTTCAGGCTGGCCAAGCACCCTGGCGATGGAAGCTCCCAGCCTCTCCTTTTTTTTTTTTTTATTCTGGGATTTATTTACCTTCTATAATTGAAAATTTGTTGCCTTTAGCAGAGGCCTGCAGAAAGCTTGGCTTCCTCCATCACCAGGGGAAACCCACTCCTGCTGGCTCCAGCTCCGTGGTCACGTGGTCACGGCTGGCTGAAAGCAGGTATCTGGGGTTTGTTTACCTTCTATAATTGTAACTTTGTTGCTTTCAGTGGAGCTCAGAGCCGGCTCCTGCTCGCTCCAGTTCCGTGGCCACGGCTGGCTGAAAGCAGGTATCTGGGGTTTGTTTACCTTCTATAATTGTAACTTTGTTGCTTTCAGTGGAGCTCAGAGCCGGCTCCTGCTTGCTCCAGTTCCGTGGCCACGGCTGGCTGAAAGCAGGTATCTGGGGTTTATTTACCTTCTATAATGGAAACTTTGTTACTTTCAGTGGAGCTCAGAATTGGGCCGCAGCAGGCGAGGAACCTTGGCTTCCTCCATCACTGGAGCAAGCAAGCCTCCTGCTCGCTCCAGCTCCGTGGCTGCCAGCCGCCATCTTGGTTGGGGTAATTTGCATATAGTCGTTCTGATTGGCTGGTGGGTGTGGCTTAAAGCATAGCGAAAGTATGGTCAATTTGCATGTTTGTCTTTTATTAGTATAGGATTACTTTTTGTCCCATAAGTATGACAGATGTAGATGATAGTGAAGTTTCCTGAAGATGTGATTGCTGGGCAGACTCTCACTTCACAAGAGCCTTTTCTGTGGGTCCTGCACCTGGGAACTCAGCATGTCACATGATCACTGTTGGCTCCTGTGTTTTAGGTTGTTGGACAGTTTGGAAGAATAACTTTGTTGTCAGCATAGCAGGCAGGTGTAGTCCCTGGGGAGAGAGGAAATGGCATTTCACAGGCAGAGAGGGATCCCATTCAGTGTGGAAGAGTGGCCGGAGGTGAGGCGTGTGTGCTGGGGCCGGGTTGTGGCCGGATCATGAAAGTCCTGCCTCAGACTTGTCTCCAACAGGCCATTTCTTCTCGGCCCTGCCAGGATCGCTTTGCTGTGGTGGTTGATTTTAATGAATAGATGTGACTGTTTTGAAAAATTTGCTTTCCTCATTGGAGAACTTTTCTGAGCAAATACCACCTGGTTTAGTGCAACTCAATTCTCAATAGATTGTTTTCTTCTATTGACACGTGGACCAGAATCCACCTCCATCTCTTTTGCAGAATTAACTTTCAGAAATCAGCAGTGATACTGTTGGCTTGCTTTTCTATATAGTAATTTAATAGGAATCCCATGGAACTGCACCCACATATTAGAGTGAAATTTCAAAACATGTTCACAGTCGGTCAGCCTTTAGACTCTGTTGGACACTAGAGGAAAGTGAGCTCTGGCTGTGCAGGTTCCTGGTCTCAGGCAGAGGGATTCACTGACTTCCTACTATAGACTGAAACTAGGAAATGGGAAAAGTGGGGGATTATAACGGAATGAGCTTTCTAAGTCTTTTTTTTTTTTTTTAGTTTTTAATAATATATGAATAGAAATTTTGAAATGTATAATAATTTTCATTCTTAAAGCAATTTAAATATATCCCATAGCAACTGAGGGGAAGCATAATACTGTGTGTGTGTGTGTGTGTGTGTATATATATGTGTGTGTGTATATATATATATATATATATATATATATATATATTCAAAATAGCTCCAATAAAATCTGGTTTGTAAAGTGTTTTATGAATTGACTTTTCCATGTGTCTAACTCAGGAATGATTGACTTTTTTTTTTTTTTTTTTAATATTTTTATTGATTTCAGAGAGGAAGGAAGAGGGAGAGAGAGAGAAATATCAATGATGAGAGAGAATCATTGATCGGCTGCCTCCTACATGCCCCCCACTGGGGATTGAGCCTGCAACCCAGGCATGTGCCCTTGACCAGAATCCAACCTGGGATCCTTCAGTCCGCAGGCCGGCGCTCTATCCACCAAGCCAAACAGGCTAGGGCAGGAATGATTGACTCTTAAGCAAAGGAAGCTTCCAGTGTCTCATGACTTAGTAAAGAAAACAACATATAGTAGATTTCTTTGTTCTCTAAAGAAAGACTATAGTAAAATACTATACCTGCTAGGGAATCCCTGTAGGATTTACTGAGTATGTTTAACCCTACAAATACTTTGAGCAGAATTGTTACTGCTAATATTATATAGTGTCATGTGTTGGAGATCCCCTAGTTTCTGACCACAGTTCGATTGGGGTGGACCTCGTGCTTGTTTTCATCCCAGAGGTAACATCTCACTTGTGCTGTGAGTTCACAGAGCCTGTGCCTTCCTTTGTGTTACAGATGCGAGTATTGCCACAAGGGCTTTAAGAAATCCAGCCACCTGAAGCAGCATGTGCGCTCACACACGGGGGAGAAACCTTACAAATGCAAGCTCTGTGGCCGCGGCTTCGTCTCCTCCGGGGTCCTCAAGTCCCACGAGAAGACACACACAGGTCATTGCCTGCCCTGGGATTGTATGGTTCTCTATGTGTTCATGGAGTTGTGCACCACTGCCAGTATCCACTTCTGTGACAGTTTCATCACACCCAAAACAAACTTTGTACCCCTCCTTGCCTCAGCTCGACGCAACCGCCACCTGCTTTCTGTCTCTGTAGTTTCCCTTCTGGACGTTTTATGGAACTGGAATCCTACAACCTGTGGCCTTTGTCAGTGGCTTCTCTCTCTCAGTGCATGTTCACGGCTCATCCACATAGCATGGGTGTCAGGGCTTCATTCCTCTGATGCCCAGTGGTTTTCCACTGTGTGGTTAGAGCCCACATTCTGTTTCTCCACTCAGCAACACTTGAGGTGTTTACATTTGGGCTGTGCACATCTGCATGTAGATTTTCGTGTGGATATCAGTTTTTATTTCTCTGTTTAGGAGTGGAATCCTTGGCCCTATGACAATGCTGTTTACATCTTTGAGTTCACCAAACTCATTCATTGGTCCTCCAGCACTGGAGAAGGGTTTCAGTTTCACTTCTCATCATAGCTCAGTGTCTGTCTTTTATTAGGACCATCCTGAGAAGTGGGAACTGGGATCTGATTGTGGCTTAGATTCACATTTCTCTAATGGTTAATGATGTTGAGCTTCTTTTCATGTGCATATTGAGAAATGTGTATTCTAATCCTATGCCATTTTAAAATTAGATTATACTCTTATTCAGATGTAAGAATTTTTTAATAGACTGTCAGGTATATGATCTTCAGTTAAATCTATCACTTTTATCTCCTTAATACATTTAAGATATTAATAACATATCTGTTTAATATTGACATATAGTCTGTATAAGGTTTTATTTGAAAACTAGAGGCCCGGTGCATGAGTTCATGCATGGGTCGGGTCCCTCGGCCTGGCCAGCGATCAGGACCAATGGGGGCCATCTCACCTAGTCCCAATTGGGGCTGATTGGCTCTGGCTGGCCAGCGGTAGAGACTGCAGGAGGTTGGCCGGCCATGGGACACTGGCTATCAGAGAGCACTGACCACCAGGGGGCAGCTCCTGCGTTGAGCATCTGTTCCCTGGTGATCAGTGCGTGTCATATCAACCAATTCTGCCGTTTGGTCGATTTGCATATTAGGGTTTTATTATATAGGATAGCGGTGCACTGCTTAAAAACATACAATGAAACAAGGAAAGGTTTTGCAGGCTGGCCCATAGGTTGGTGGGTAGGCAGTGGCTTTAATGGTGAGAGCAGGTCACTGGAGCTCTGAAGGCCCTCTCAGGAGGCAGCAGAGCCGTTGCAGTAGAAGCCATGTGCCTTGATCCTGTGGGTTTAGGAAGTCGGGGTGGCCCCTCTGTGAAGAAAAGACAGGTCAGAGGGAAGTGCCCTTTTTGGCTTGCTTCCGTGTCATCAGGAGAGTGGCCTTCTTGTTCAGACTTGTGTGAGAGTGAAGCTGTGTAGAGGTGTGTAGGCTCTTCCTCGGGGCCCACTCTATCTCTTGCTGTAGGATGTGAAAAAAGATGGATTTGAAAATTTCTGGAGTGGATCCCACAAACACATTGCTGGTTCAAATGTGAAAGACCAAGGGGCAGAGAGAGAAAAGCTCTTGGAGCTTTGATTTCACTGGGAGTCTCGGAAGGTGCTGTCAGTGTCCATGTTCTCAGACAGTGTCCAGCTCCTGAAAACAGGCGACCGTAGCTAATGACCAGTCTTTGACTTAGTGAGCATCTCTCTGTTGGCCTTGACTACTTACGATTCTAAGGTAACAAAATACGTGTTTTTCCTCATTCCCGATGTCACAGGAGTGAAGGCGTTCAGCTGCAGTGTTTGCAATGCTTCGTTCACGACCAACGGCAGCCTCACCAGGCACATGGCGACACACATGAGCTTGAAGCCTTACAAGTGTCCATTCTGTGAGCAGAGCTTCCGGACCACAGTCCACTGCAAAAAGCACATGCGGAGGCACCAGGCAGGCCCCTCTGCCACATCAGCGCCTGGAGAGCCCGAGGGAGGAGGAGGTATTGTCCATTTGTTGATTTAAGGCTTATTAGCCAGATGCTAATGTAGTGATAAGTTAACGCACAAGTCACAAATAAAATTAATTTTTTTCTGATTATGAAGCAGTATGTGCTCTGTGGAGCACAGATTCAGAGAGGCCCGAAGAGAAGTTCTCTCACTAGTCACCACAGACCAGTCAATCAGCCTCCAGGATGTGTAGTCTCCCTTCCACGTGGACACACGTACAGACGGAGATCTTAATTTCCTAGCCAGTAGGGGTCTGCCACAGTGCCCCGTGTAAGGTTGTGGCCCACTCAATCTTCCCTCCCCTGGTGTGTATCCTGGATGTATTTGATACTGTTAAACACAGGTCTCATCAGTTCAAGCAGCTACACGGATCCCATCATGCTTTGTTCTGTCCTCTCCTGTAGACATACGTGGAGCTTCACTCCACCTCACTGTAATAGTAAGAGCGTTCAGGGACCTGTGCTCCCCACGTTCACGGTCTCATTGAATTGACATGAGAACTATGGTTTGTGGGACTTATCTCACTTTGTACATGAGCCTGCTAAATGTTAGACAAGCTGATTTTCCCAGTAACTACAAGTAGTATGTAATTCCAACAGTATTGTTTTGTGCTTGTATTTTTTGGGCTTATCAGTTGAATTATTTTGATCAAATTCCACAAGTAAAATTACAGTGTCAAGAATGTACACATTGTATATTTTGACACAGAATGCCAGTACACAGCATTTTAGTATTTTTAACCGATGTTAGTCCATATACAGGTTGAGATATGTTAGTTTGAACACATGTCACAGGGTGTCCCCTCTGGTGTGGCAGCACTGTGTATCACACATTCATATATGTGGAACGAACCTGCCGAGACAGGGTGTGTGTTTGGCGTGTACTCAACGAGATTGTATGGTCCCTCCCCAATTGCTTACTCCCATCTGCTCTGCTGGACTGATTTCCATGGAGCTTTTTCTTCTACTTGGGGGAATACGTCTTTAAATGTACTTTACCTTCCTCAGGTAGCAAACCCAACTCCACTACAGAGCAGCTGTTCTTCTAGCTCTCCAGTAGCTGCTTCTCAGTGTGGATGTGTCTGACCTGTTATGTTTAGTCAGAGAGCTCCAGCTTGTTAATCTGATAGTACCTGGTGGAATCTTTAGCTCTTTTTTTTTTTATTGTCATTGTGATTTAGTGAAATAAAAAGAAAGAAAATAGTAACTGTTTTCCTTTCAGTGAATTGAAAAAAATATAAGCCATCCATATATTATTTCTAGAACCCCCTACTTTGCAGCCAGTGACAATAATCTCTAAGTCTAACATGTGTGCTCCTGCCCATCAATCAACAAGGCATCTAATGCCGTTAAGTCAGTGCTGTGAGGACCGATGTGGGGGCTTGTTACGGCTTCACCACACACTGTGTGATGCTCCCCTTAGGTCTTGGTGTTTTCCTACTTTGGATCAGTGACAAAAAGACCTTACATGAAATCCCTTGTCAACAGAAAAGAAGTCACCTGTTAAATTATTATTATTTTTTTTTAACCAAACCTTGTAATAGAGATTTAATTCCTTGCTGTTGCCTGATAGTAAGCCTATCTGGCCTAACAATGCTGTCTTATTTTATATCTTCTGTTTATTGTGTTATATTTCACTGCCCCTTGTTACTTAATGGCTTTTTGTTATGTTGGTTTTGTTCTGGGTTACTTTAAAATTTTTAATACAATTATCCATATTTCTTTATCAGTGTTGATGGGGCCTCCATCTGGGACCTGCTGCCCCCAGCTCTTTCCAAGTTTGTTTGAGAATGTAGAATTTGAATTCATTATATTTTCTTTTTCTGGAATTCCTACTAAAAATGGCTGTCTCCCAGGACTCTCCTTCTCTCCCTCTCCCCAACCCTTTCTTCCCTTCATTTCCTTCCTCCCCCACCCATTTCTCCCATCTTCTCATCTTTGGTCCCTATATTCTAAGAGAAATCACCCAGTTATTTTTTAAATTCACTCATTTGGTTTTAGCCACTGTCCACTTTGCTAGCTAGTGTTTCTGTTGAACTTTTTTCAAAAATTTTAGCCATCTATGCACTAGTGACCTGCTCACAGACAGACTTATCTTCCTTCTGTACATTTTCATAGCGGATTATTCTTGTTTTTAATCAGGGTGAATATGTCCTTATAGTCATTGAGAGAATACATACACACATATATATTTAAAGACATATTTTCCTTTCAGTAATTGGGGGCTGTTTGCCAGTTTATTGACTGGGCCTTTTATAGGCTGCTGCTTTTCTTTATTTGATGATAATTAATTTCCTGTCCATGTTAACAAATGGGTGACTATATTTATGAATACCCATGGCTGGTGTGGACACTGACAGGCTCAGCTCTCTGCTGGGCTGGCAGCTGCCGGTAAGAAATGAACCTTTAGGCATAGTATCCTTCTGATGTCGTGGATCCTCCCCCAAGGCGCATCCTTCTCAGACTTCCTTTCTGGTGAATGTGCTTTAGTTTCTCAGTACAATAGTGATGGGAACAATCTCTTTGAATCTCAAATGTAGCTCCACTGAGTAGTAACTAGTAAATTAGTAATTTAACCACACATACTCGTTTAGTCTAATATACTTGTTTTATGGAAACACATTTTTCATTGGGATTTGACCCTTTGCCTGTACTTCGTTTAGATATATGTATGGAGGAAGAGGAAGAAAATTCTGAAAGAAACGCATCTAGAAAGGTTCGTCCTGAGGTCATCACTTTTACAGAGGAGGAGACAGCGCAGTTAGCCAAAATCCAGCCCCAGGAAAGCGCCACAGTGTCAGAGCAGGTGCTGGTGCAGTCGGCTGCCGAGAAGGACCGCATCAGCGAGATGAAGGACCGGCAGGCCGAGCTGGAGGCTGAGCCCAGGTTCGCCAACTGCTGCTCCTACTGTCCCAAGAGCTTTAAGAAGCCCAGCGACCTTGTCAGGTAGGCATGGCCTTGTGGGTGGGCTTCATGCTCTGTGTCCCTCTGGCCATTGTCACTGCAGTCAGGGAGGCCGTTTCTAAGCCTGGTGCCACTAAAGGCACAATGACAGGTTTCCTGAGTCTCCACTTCAAGCTGCTGTAGATTTTGAGGCTTCCTTTTAAGCTCATGCAGAATGTTAATTAGAAATGTGTTTGCTCTGTAGATTGCTTTTACTTATTTCTATGTAATAGACTGTGGTAGTAGTGAAGTTCTAATTGGAGCTTAGTGATTCATTGAAGAGGACCTGGTGCAGCCTGTAGCAGGTACTGCCAGCCCCCACACTGCTGGTCTGCGAGAGCTCTTGTTTTCAGGACAGTGAGCCCTAATTTTATTGGCCTTTCAGGTTTCATGTTGTCTTTTGGATTTGTTTATGGTGTTTTTTTGCAGAGAGTGAAACTTAAAGGTTTTGTTTGGCTAAATGTATTTGGTACCTAGTCCACATAATTTTTATTTATATGGATAGTTACAAATTTAAAATCATGAAGTTTGCTTGAATTGTGTATCACATAAAAAGGAAAAACACTGAATTGCCCATGCTTCCTGGCTAGACATGTTCGAATCCACACGGGAGAAAAGCCATACAGATGTGATGAGTGTGGGAAGAGCTTCACTGTGAAGTCCACCCTGGATTGCCACGTGAAGACTCACACAGGTAAGAGTGGGCTGCATCGCTGGTGCCCGACAGTGGCGTCTTGTGTTTTGTTTTCTCCTTTGTATTGTGCACACATAAATACTTCCAAATTATGGGAAGCATAAAAACCAGGAACCATGATAAATAGATATAAAGGATTTTTCATTCCTGATGTGGGAAAAGTAATCTACAAAACACTAAGGAAAAGGGACGAGGTCTCCAATATCCAGTTGTCAGTTATCTTGTATTCTCAATCAGACTTAAATGCCAAAGAGATTTGGTTTATTGAGGTTTTGTAAAAACTGGAATTTGGCATCTGATTATAGTTATATGGTAGTAATTCTTTTTATGTGGGGGACAGATCTTATAAAAGAAAAAAATTAATGTACAGTTTCCACAGCCACTTTCTCTCCTTTATCTGACTTGAGGGACTGAGGTTAATTAAGCTGTGCGGAGCCTTTGAGTTCTGATTCCACAGTGTGTCCGAGTGGTGGGGAGGCAGGTGCCGACCTCCACCTGCCTTGGACCTTGGCCTCCGCTTCTGAGCCACTGGTCTCAGCCTCCAGGTCCTCATGTGTAAAATTAGGAGTTAAGTGACTCTCAGTAAATGTTAGGGTTGTTATTATGATTTGTAGGATGATGACTGTTGAGGTAATTTATAGTCTTAATTTTTGGTTATAAGCAGAATTAACCAAAAGAGCACAGTGGAGTTTCACAAGTTTCTATGAAGCCCCATGATCCTTTTCTGATGGGTTAATATTTGGAACTAAGTAAATAGATACTTGAACCTACTGACATGCCTCTACTGTGGACAGTTTTTCTGTTTTGTTAGGTTCTGGGTGTTTGACCCTCTTGGAGGCTCTGTGAACTGCTGAGGTTCAAGGGGAGCACCCCACCTGTTCTTGCCTCACTAGGTGTAGCAGCCCGCTGACTGCTCAGGGCAGGTGTGGTGACATTCATGGTGACTGCGCACGCTGGGGTTTCCAGTCCGCTCTGTGCACTTGGGAAGGAAAGCAGTGTCTCTGAAAAATGTCAGGGCCTCTCTTGTCCTGGTCTGCATCCCGGCCTGTCCGTTTCTGGGGGAGCAAGACCATGACATTTCTGCTCCTGGGACTCTCCTGGGCAACTTGATGTTCATGATAGGGCCCTCAGGTGCCTGCGAGATCTTCATGACACTCTGGACACAGTGGGCACATGGTGCTAGACCCGGGGCTCTACAAGCCCAGCGTTCACACTCCTGGGTGGCCTCTACCTGTGCTGGCTCTTGGGTGCCCCCTTTTCAAGAAAGAAAATAAAGAGCTGAGCCATCAGCATGCCCTTTGCAGAGTCAGAGGTGGTGGTGGTGAGAGCTGGGCTATTGTCGCTCTCAGGAGGAGGGACTCTGCTCCCTTTTAAACCCTGGGTAACAGGCTCCACACTCACGCCACCCACCCTGCCATGGATGTGACGCTGACTTTCGACCCTTCACAGGTCAGAAGCTCTTCAGCTGCCACGTCTGCAGTAATGCCTTCTCTACCAAGGGGAGTCTGAAGGTCCACATGCGCTTGCACACTGGAGCCAAGCCCTTCAAGTGTCCACACTGTGAGCTGCGCTTCCGCACGTCTGGCCGGAGGAAGACTCACATGCAGTTTCATTATAAGCCTGACCCCAAGAAAGCCAGGAAGTCCACACCACGCAGTGCGCCCGAGGGGCTGCAGCCCGCCAGCCTGCTGAGCCCGGGCTCTGCTGACCCAAATTTGCTGATCATGAACAACTCGGTTCTGACTGGCCAGTTTGATCCAAACCTGCTTCAGCCAGGACTAGTGAGCCAGGCCGTCCTCCCTGGCTCTGTGTCAGGTATGGCTGCAGCTGGCGGGTGGGGACTGAGTAAGGGCCCTGAGACGTACCACATGTCTGCAGATGTGAGAAACAACTCTCCCTGTGTCCGTGACCTGGGGTGTGATCAGAGCCTAATGAAGTGCAGTTGCTATGTGAGGTGTTGGCTAGTCAGTGTACCCGCTCTGAGCCTCGTTTTCTGATCTGGATGGCGATGTTCCCTCACTGGTGTGTTTTGTGATGATTGGATCAGACTATGTATGTATATGGTGTAAAGTGGGTTTTAGTGTTCCTTCACCAGATCATATTGATACATACATAAAACTTAGGTTTTCCTATTGATACCCAATCCTTCCTGTTCTTTTTCCATGCAGGTGGCAGTGACTGGACAGTGTCTCTGACGGATGGGAGCCTGGCCGCCCTGGAAGGCATCCAGTTACAGCTGGCGGCTAACTTGGTTGGGCCTAATGTTCAAATTTCTGGAATCGACACCTCTGGCATTAACAACATCACATTACAGGTGTGGCACCTGCCATGATTTTCTGTGCTTGAATGTAGTCTGAGTCACACAGCATGAAACTTTATTACAAATGTCTGTGCTGCCTTTCAGATTGACCCAGGTGTCTTGCAGCAAAGCTTACAGCCCACCAACCTGCTTGCTCAGCAACTGACGGGGGAGCCGGGCTCGACCTCACACAACAGCTCCCTTCAGACACCGGACAGCACGGTCCCAGCCAGTGTGGTCATCCAGCCCATCTCAGGCCTGTCCTTACAGCCCACGGTGACCTCTGCCAACCTGACCATCAGCTCGATGTCGGAGCAGGACTCTGTGCTGACCACCAGCACTAGTGGTAAGAGCCACTCCTATGGGCTTGGACTCTGGACGATCAGATTTGTGCTCATCATCATGAATTTGAGTTTAGGACGCTGTGATGCCATTTCTTCTCTTTTTAAAACTCACTAAACAAACATCCTATGCCTTAACTGATGTTTATTCAATATATGCATGTAGATTGCAACATTCACGTAATTAATTTTGTCCCATTGGCTTCCTGTTTCATAAGGCTTTCTTATCTTTATAGGTGAAGGAATTAGAGATGACTGCTTTTTTTTCCAAATCTTTCTCATTTTGAAGTAACATTTTCACTAAAGTATTTTTAATATAAGAAGAGAATATTGCATTTTAAGCCCAGCTTTGCTTTGTTCTGTAATGATAACCAGGGACTCAAGACCTCACTCAAGTGATGCCATCACCAGGCCTCGTGTCCACCTCCAGTGGCCCCCATGAGATCACCCTGACCATCAACAACTCCAGTCTCAGCCAGGTCTTAGCACAGGCTGCTGGGCCCACCACGTCATCCTCAGGGTCCCCACAGGAAATCACTCTGACCATCTCTGGTTAGTCATTCATGTTAAGCATATTTTTACCTGCAATCTAAGTCTGTCTTATTTATATTCTTTCTGTACACTCAGCTTTGCATAAAGCCAGTGCCCAATATGTGTTTGTAATTCAGGTAAGAAATTCAGGCTTAGTGACAATGTTCCTGTTCAAATTTGATAACAGAAAAAAATTGATAGTTCCGTCATTTCCAGTTTAAGTGATTTTTTTTCTCACATATTTTTTTGTTTAGCAAAGAGCAGAAAACTGTTGCATCACAAGTCTCATTCGTGTGCTCCATTAAGCGAAAGGAATATAATCCACATAAACTGTGCATTGTCAAAGATTATAGGGAGCTTACTCGCCTACTCTTTTCAGATTCTACTCGGATTATGTATACAAATGTGACCTATGGCAAACATTGAGAGGTAAATAAACAAGTGAGAATACCATCTGACAGTGAAGGTCACTTGAAACTGGCAGAAGGACCTTATGAGTCTGTCACCAAGCCCATGCATTCTGCCTCAGACTGCAGTATTCTTGTCAGGTGTTTCTCCTGCGTGTCATTCGTGCCCCCAGCATGTTTGACCTGTTAGCTCGGAGCACATGTTATGGGTGGCTCTTCCCACAGGTACCCTTGGCTGTGCACAAATATTACTTCAGTTAAATTTTACAGTCTGTTAGCCATTCATAAGTCATTTGAAGAAAACTTGACACACACTGAGTAAAAGGAGAGGCTGGTCCTCATCTCCCTGAGTTACATATGCAGTGAAGATTCTGTAACTCATGTTTTCAGGCCAGTTGTTAATGAAAAGCTGTGTGAAACAGAACCAAAAAGTGAATCCTAGCTCTTCTGAAAACAGGTCCGCTCTGCCCATGGCAGTTGTACTGTTTCATTTGCCCGTACTCAGCCCGCCGTGTGCGGCTTTCTGTCCTGTTGTCTGTTTACAATCCTGGAGGGTGCTGGTAATGACAGAGCAGAGTGCAGCATCCTTTTATCTTCTGATGATTTTCCCTCCAGTTCTGTATCGTTGGCTTGCTTATGCCTAACTTGACAGCAGAATTTTTTAAAAGCAACTTGTCTTTGTCCAATCTTTCCCAAGAATTCTTTTTGGTACTCACTGAAATGTCAGCAGGTTTAACTCTCATGTTCACCTGCTCCCATACTATTTGGTTCTATTACATGTGACATTAGCTGAGGGGCTGGCATGAGCAGGTGTGGGACCCTGCTGGGAACACATGGCAGGTGTGCTAGAGTGCTTGTGAGCCTCCCAGTGGCAGTGAGCCCCTCCTGTCAGACGTCCAAGGTGCTGCAGCTCAGCTGGCCACCTGGGAGCCAGCTAAGGGAGATGCTGTATCATTTTGTAGTATCTCTTTGATCCTTTTTAACACATTTTGCTACACCTGGTAGTCCATCACATTGGGAAATATTTTCAATTCAGTTTAAGTTTTATTCAACAAAGTGTGTAATTTAAGTGCCTAAATGCTGAGTTAAAGCAAAACTTTTAAGAAACATTTGAAAAATACAGCTTAAAAAGTGTGAACAAATACTTTCATTTAGGGGAATGTATTTCATAGTCTTATTTTCACTTTTTTCTATAAAAATGGTATTATACGTTCATCACACTTGCCAGAGTGTCAGTCACCATGTTACTTTCAGATATTACAGTATTAATTTTCATTTAGGTCAAGACCTTATTCAGCACAGTTCTGGTGGAAGCAGTGAGCTAAACGGGACAATAAGATTGTCCGGGGCTACGGTCAGTAATCAGTCTGCAGGTGCCACCCTGACAATCAGCAATGACCAGCTTCTCACGCAGAGTGCAGCATTGACCGCTTCAGGTATGAAACTGACGGTAACATTGTGGGATCTGAAGGTCAGTGGAAAGGAGTGAGCCATCCGTTAGCACAATATCTCAGCCCCTCGTCCTGTCACATGCAGTGTCATTCCACAGTGGTTGATGGTGATAGAGGTCTCTGTAGAGTTATCAACCAATTGATAATTCTATCTCTTCAGGAACAGCAGTAAGTAATGGTATTCAGATACCTAGGGCATTATGTATTCATGCACATGGGCACTTTGATGGCTCCATGAAGCTGCCCCTTCCCCCATGGGCTGTGAGGTCCTGGCTCGTCATCCTCTGGGCCCTGCAGTGTGAATTTTCTGCCCAGCTACAGTAGGATAACACAATTGAAAGACATCCTTCTAAGGCAGTGGTTCTCAACCTTCTGGCCCTTTAATACAGTTCCTCATGTTGTGACCCAACCATAAAATTATTTTCTTTGCTACTTCATAACTGTAATGTTGCTTCTGTTATGAATCATAATGTAAATATCTGATATGCAGGATGGTCTTAGGCAACCCCTGTGAAAGGGTCGTTCGACCGCCAAAGGGGTCACAACCCACAAGTTGAGAACCACTGTTCTAAGGTGTTGAGGTGTAGACTTTTATACAAATAAATGAGCACAATTAAAAGGAAATGAGCTCCTATAAAATCACAGCTTCATAAGTAACTGTTAGCAGTTTAGGATGCCATACCTTTCTCATGTTCTTTACCTTGTAGAGGTTTTATCAGTGTCTTAGCCCTCTTATTTTCTAGCTCTCTAGTTCATTTTTTGAGAAAAAGTTTGATCTACAGGTACTTGTACCCACAGCTAGATTTTTTTTGTGCTTCATTGAAATGCTTTCTTATCCAGTAATTCATTTATTCAGCAAGAGATTGTGTTGTGTCCTGGGTGTAAGCATTGTACTAAGTCTGAGAACATGATAGTGAGCAAGACACACATGGTCCCCTGGAATTTTGGGTCCTAGAAACTAATAGAGCACAGACAGTTATTAAAGAATTCATGTAATTACTAAACGATATATACAGGAGTAGAATGGTGCTAGTAAGCAGGTTAAAGGGGATTTGACTCAGTCCGGGTGACTTCTCTGGACACTGGGCTGAGCAGGGAGTGGCACTATGGGCCCATGGGGAACACTTCTCCCAAGAGAGTGACATTGTGTTACAGGCCAGATAATCTCTGCTGAGCTGAGGCAAGATGCCATGGTGTAGAAGTTGGCTGGATCCAAGGAGGGCATGGGCCCCTCGAGACCTTAGAGGAACTTTCTGTCCATCCTCTCATTTGCTGAAGGGTAAACTGAGGCCTGAGTGATTAGGAATAGTCTAAACAGCATATTGGCAGATCCAGCACCCCAGCGTCTGGCCAGTGATGGTTCCCACTAGGTTTTGGGCTTCAGTCTGCTCCAGGCTCTGTTCCTCCTGCGTCTGCTCACTTGTTCAGTTTGGGGCTCTGGAATCTGTCACAGAACTTACTTCTTACTCATTTGAAATGAGAAGTGGTTTGTTTATTTTTCAGCTAAGGGGAATTTTGTTTTACGTTTTAATTGGCTACAAATTAGGACTTTCGGGTTATAATTTGGTCTATAATAGGTAGTACATCTGAAGTATATCATATACTTTTAAGTTACAGAGCAGACTTTTTTTGAAAGTCATCCTTGTGTCTTTGTTGTTAAGAATGAGAGGTGTTTTCTGATCACATCCAGAATCCTGTCCCTGGGCTGTGAGATTATCCTCTTCCCCCCTCTGTGTGGGTCGTGTCGGACCAGCAGAGTGGAAAGAGGGTTAGCAGACTCTGGAGCAGCCGTGGGCAAACTACGGCCCACAGGCCGAATCCGGCCCATTTGAAATGAATAAAACTAAAAAAAAAAAAAAAAAAAAAGACCATACCCTTTTATGTAATGATGTTTACTTTGAATTTATATTAGTTCACACAAACACTCCATCCATGCTTTTGTTCCGGCCCTCTGGTCCAGTTTAAGAACCCATTGTGGCCCTCGAGTCAAAAAGTTTGCCCACCCCTGCTCTGGAGTATCAGGAAACCAGGCTTCCCAGCCTGCTGCACTGGGGCTGGGACTGGCCGGGGTGATGTGACCTATGTCTCTAGTGAGCCCTCGGCACACTGATGTGCAGACAGGGAGAGTGCCTGATGTCTTCACTGACATGGTTTTTATGCTACTTGGTGATCCTGGAGTTTTGATCAGGTGGAGAGAGCGGGTGGAATGAGGACACATGAAGAACTCTGAGGCTGTCTCAGCTCCAGTCTTGAAACTCCTGCCATCTGGTTAATCAGCATGAAGGGTCTCCCTTCTACATCGACCTCCTTGGACACATGGTGATGGTACCTCTCGAAGGTGAAAGTCTTGGCATCCATCTTTGAATAGTCCTGAGTTAGGAAGAGACTTCAAATAACTATTCCATTCTTGGTGTTAAGCGCATCTTTAGAGAGGTTTGCATATTCCATTAGTACTACTTACAATTAAGTAGCTGATCCCATCTGCATAGTATTGGTCAAGAGATTGTCTAATTATTGGGCAGTATTTACCTTAGAGTCAAAGTCACTTCCAGGATTCAGGCCACGCCAGTGAGCCTAGGCATTACAGTGACCTTGTTTCAGATTAATCATGCCATTTCTAAGATAAACTGCTAGGGAGCGAATGGCAGACTCAGGCAGCGTTTCTGTCCAGTTTTATCTGGATGGCCTGTGTTCAGGACAAGCAGATGTGAGGTGGTAACAGTGTGAACGTGAGCAGAGAAGTCACCCGGACTGAGTCAAATCCCCTTTGACCTGCTCACTGGCACCATTCTATCTCCTGTATATATCGTTTATGTAATTACATGAATTCTTTAATAACTGTCTGTGCTCTGTTAGTTTCTGCATGGGGCCTGATGGTTGCTCAGGGATTGGTGGACTCCTCTCTGTGGCTGGTCTCTGGTCCTCCTGGGACAGGGTCCTGGAAGTTCTTGCTGGAGTTTCCTTCTGTTGTGGTAGCTGTGATGGAGACTGTAAGGTCAGGTTTTTGTTCTCCTTTCACTGTTCTTTCCCTCTGTTATACTAAAACAGAGTATGTTTATGTACAAAGACATTTAGGAACTCTAGAAAGCTTGCCGTAAAACTGGAATCAAAGATTCTGTGGTTTCTGTGATGCCATTTCAGAAGCTTAGACGGTGCAGGTGCTGGTGACGACAGGCTTGCTCCTTTGTGAAGACTGTCCTTCCCACTCCCCCAGATTTTCCACTGATCTGCTTGCCTGGCCTTTCTTGTAGAACTTAGCACTGCAGCCAGCAGCCTTTCTTCCACGGCTCCCGCATCCCCGTCCGCCCTCTCTGCTCAGAACCTGGTCATGTCTTCGTCAGGAGTGGGAGGCGAGGCCAGCGTCACCCTCACTCTGGCTGACACTCAGGGCTTGCTCTCAGGAGGACTGGACACGGTCACACTCAACATAGCTTCTCAGGTAGGTGCACACCTGTCCCATCATCATGTAGTTATGCACTCTGTCAAGGAATGATTGGGAAACTTCATTAATTAGTTCTTCTCAAATATGTGTTCTGAACATTTTCTTTTGAAATTGAAGGTCTTTTTCTGATTAAAAAAAAAAAAAAAAAGGAATATATTAAGTGCAAAAAGGGGAAAACAAGAAAATTCAGACAATACAAAAAAGTATTCCTTAAAAAAATCTACTTTCCAAAGGGAACCACTGTTAACATTTTAGTGTATATTCCCTTCCACACCTTCCTGTGCACATATACTGACACGTATTTTAAAGTTTTCAGGAAAGAGTTCCTGTGTATTTTGTGCCATGTAAACTTTCCATCTGCCTGCATTCTGAAGGTCGTCCCCATCCATGGTTCCAGCCCAGGCTTTAGTGGCTGCACAGCATTTAGTTTTACAGATGAGTTTACTGAGGGGCATATGCTGCATCGAGGACTCCATAAGTAGTTATGTGCTCAGACGAGTCCCTGCTGGGGGAGTGCAATCTTGGAGTGTCTGTGTCACATAATGCATTGAGTGAAGACGCAGAAAACTTGGGTAGCTTTAATTAGAAAATCATAAGTAAGTAATTTATTCATCATAACAAAAGTAAGAGGTCAGTGAGCAGTTCTTTGCATTCGCTAGGTGAGTTTTAGCCTGTCCCTTGGATGCAGCTGGAGCCAGAGCCCCCCCTCAGCCAGCGCGAGCACTTGGGAATCATGTGCCCTTGGGGAGTGCGATTATTGTAATTTCTACCTTAGTGTAAACCAAATACAGCAAAGGAATAAATTGATTCAAGTAACCGTGCAAACCAGAAACAAACAACTTTCATGTGCTACTTCAGTGGATTCCAACTGACCATTGGGTTTATTTTATTGGACTTTGCTTATTGAATCAAGGCATTTGCATTAAGAATACTTAATATTAGCAGTTGAAACAGCAATAATACACTAGTAAGTTACATTGTGTTTAAGTTTTTAATTAAACTTTTTATTTTGAGATAATTGTAGATTCACAGGCAATTGTAAGAAATAATTTAGAGAGATCCTGTGTACCCTTTATCCAGTGGATGCTAGGGATGGCATCTTGCAGATCTGTGGATGGTGTCACCTAGGCGTTGCCATCCACAAGGTCAGGCACAGACCTTGTCCACCTGCAAGGACCTCACCCCTCCTCCCGGATGACTGCTAATCCATTCTTCTATAGCTTTGTCATTTCAAATCAAGAAGGAATTGTCATTTCCCCTTGATAAGCCCACATGTGCTAAGAGTCTCCAATATCATCGCTTTTGGTTGGGAATATTAATTTATGAGCCAGCACTAGTTCTTAGGTGTATCTGAATTTCTGGCCAGCAGTTGTATTTACCTTTGATTATTAAAATAGGAGATATGAATTTATTAATTTTGATTGACACCATTTTTCCACATTGGTATTGTGCTAAGAGTGGGCCAAAAGCCCGCAACAGATACGTAGCAGATGGGTAACCTTCCCTTGTAAGGGAGTCATAACACAAAGCTTTGCTAGTACAGATAGCACCGTTTCAATCTATCCCATGTTTGGGTAATACAATTTAATACATGGATATACCTAAAATACCATCATTTCACCTTTTTTAAAGGCATATGGGAAGTAAAGAATCCAAGTCAGCCCTAGCCAGTTTGGCTCAGTGGATAGAGCATTGGCCTATGGACTGAAGGGTCCTGGCTTCGATTCCAGTCAAGAGCACATGCCCAGGTTGTGGGCTCGATCCCCAGTAGGGGGCGTGCAAGAGGCAGCCAATTGATGATTCCCTCTCATTGATGTTACTATCTCTCACTCTCCCTTCCTCTCTGAAATCAATAAAAACATTTAAAAAAAAAAAAAAAAAAAAACCCATATGTGAAACTTTACACAATAATAAAAAAAAGAATCTAAGTCAATTTAAGAAGCTCTGCTTGTCTGGAGCTGTGCCCCACCGGCCTGTGTCCTACCCATTGCCCTGCTCTGTCTGCCTCACAAGCATCTTTCCTGGAGGAAGTGGACCCAGGGTTCTGTATGGGTGGAGTTTTTTTAAAGCCATCTCATCCCTGAGGGGAGGAGCCATCTCAGTCCTCCCCTCCTCCATTCTTTAGCTTCCCTGTGGGAACCCAGATTGTTTTGTTCTCCTGGAGACAATGAAAAACAGCCTCACCTTCAGCTGCAGGGGACCTGACATTTGCCCAAGTGTCCTAGTGACCCCTTACCCTTCAGCATTAGGCACTTATGTTGAGTCTTCAAGTTAGTATGCTTCAAATGAGAATCTGGATTCTGCGTAAGGTATGTTTAGAAGTAGCTTTGATTTTAGCAGTTCCAGTTCTGTATTAACTTGTTTATATAGATTCAGCATTTGTAGTACACAGTCAGGTCATTTAAGCTGAGCTTCCCCTCTGCACCCCCATCCCGCTGACCATATCTATTATTGCCTTGTCTCCGGTTCCCAGTCAGTGGAGAAGGGTGTGCTGGAGTGGTCATAAGACTCATAGTAGTTCTTTGTAATACAGCAAAGTGGTATGTGTATTTTTAACAAGGAAACATTCTTTATATGTAGTTTATAACAACTTAATGGTCTTTAACGTGCTTACAAATTTGTGTGACCATCACCATATCTACTTTTAGGACATTTTGTGACTTTGTGCCATTGGCAGTTAGCCATCATTCCCATGTCCCCCTGGACCCCAAGCTCACCCCATGCTGTGCTGTGTCCTCCAGCCTCTGGCAACCATTGATATACTTCCTGTCCCTACAGATTTGCCTGTTTGGATATTTTCCATAAATGGAATCATATAATGTGTAGTCTTTTGTGACTGGCCTCTTTCACTTAGTGACTGCCTTCAACATTCATCCATGTTGTAGCCTGTGTCATACTTCATTCCTTTTTATTGTCAAATATTTCATTATATAGATATCACATTTTGTTTACCCAGTTCCTAGATATTATGGGCTGTTTCCCCTTTGTGACTACCGTGAGTAGTGCTGCTATGAGCACTCATGTACAAGGTTATAAGCGGACATAGGTTTTCATTTGGGGGATAGATACCTCCAAACTAAATTGCTGATTCATATGGTGATTCTGTGGTTACCTTCTGAAGACCTGTCAACTTGTTTTCCAAAATGACTGCACCATAACAGATCTTCTACATTATTACTGGATATGATAATGTTACGATGTCTACAGTAGTGATTATCCTTGTTCGGCAGGGTCAGCAGTTCCCAGCCTTGCTCACCGATCCCTCCCTCTCAGGCCACGGAGGAGCAGGCTCACCACAGGTCATCTTGGTGAGCCATACCCCACAGCCAGGGTCCACTGCTTGTGAAGAGATCGCCTACCAGGTACAGGGCACACTGTCACTCACAACCATTCATGCTTTTTAAAAGCACAGACTCAGACGAGATGGGGAATGAGGAGGTGGGTCTCCAGCAAATCCTGAGTGTGAATGGTATGAGCTGTGGAGGGTCCAGGGACAGCATGTGCTGAAAGGCTGAAACTAGATATTGTTCCTTCCATGATTTATTGCACCACAAAGTGAGAGGTAGCAAACAATAATGTGTATGGATCTAGTTAGAAATTTATTAACATCTTCTACTTGCCTACTGATCAGACCTCACATGGCATTTACTCCCATTTAGTTTTTTTATAGGTTTTCTTGAAAGACCTTTGCTGGTCTTCTATAGACTTGTTATATTTTCTCTAATATACACAGTCATATGTGTGTGCGTGACCTATTTGTCATTGACTAGTCTCATTTCTTAAAATGCATGTTGTCCCATATTCATTGAATGATAGTTCTAAATATAAAAGCATCTAAACACTCTTTCCTTAAAGCTTTTCAGAGTTACAAATACAGTAACAATCTCTGAATGGAAGAAGCATTAACTTTATGCTTCAATTTTAGCAAATGAGTGTCAAGATAATGACTCACTGTTTTTTTAGTGGGGCCAGGACTTTTCCATACAGAAGGTAGACATGACCAGCATAGGGAATTTCCCTCATCTTGCTGAGTTTCTATTTGTAAAATGGTTGCACATTGGTCTCGGGGTCCTCAAGACCACACTTCAGTGATGCACTAAGAGCACCCAGGACTCAGAGACATCCGTGGTTGTCATGGTGCAGGGAGCGGCACAGCGAGCGCTCCCCTCCCACAGTGCGGTATCGGGTTCAGAAGCAATAAATATTGAGTGTGTTGGTGGATCTAAGTGCCATGCACTTGGGCTCTGTCACCGCATGCTTCGCGTGCACCACCCGTAAACCACGGTGTGTATTTGCACTTACAGAGCAGCCTGAAGCACCGCTTACTCTAGTGGTTCTCAACCGTTTTTTGACTCACAAGAAATAATGCCTTATTCCAGTGATGGCAAACCTGTGACACGCGAACTCATCTTTTTGGCTGATTTTTCTTTGTCAAATGGCATTTGAATATATAAAATAAATATCAAAAATATAAATCTTGGTTTTACTATGGTTGCAGATATCAAAAAATCTCTATATGTGACACGGCACCAGAGTTAAGTTAGGGTTTTTCAAAATGCTGACACGCCGAGCTCAAAAGGTTCGCCATCACTACCTTATTCGGTGTCCTGAATACACACGGGTTTTTGTTGTTTCTTCTTTTACACATACAGGCTCATGTAGACATGTGCACACCTGACACAGTGTCACAAAATTGCTCCTGCGTCACATTGGCATTCTCTCTGCTCTCCTGACCTTTGCTCTTTCTTTTCTTCTTTCATTCCATTCTCTTTTATTGAGTGCTGATCAATATTAGAGCACCCTGCAGACACTGTGTGTTGTTTTCTTTAAAGTATATCTGTTTTTGTCTTTTCTAGTATTACGAAGAATACTAGGCTGGAAATAGAAAATTCCATCAGTTTTCTTTAGAATTGTTTATAGTTTTCATTCACTAAGTCATCATAAATTTTTATCTGCAAAACGAAACTCCTGTTTATAAGAGCTAAGCAGGGAAGGCCTCCTGCTTCATTCATTTATTTTGTTAGTTATTTTTAGAGTATTGATGGCATCCTATTAGAATGAATAGAAAGCCTTCTAAAGGGTGTGATCCAAAGTTTGGGGGAAATCCTTGAATCCAATCAAAAGCTGAGAATTATTTGTGGTGCCATTTGCTAAAAGACATCTCCAGCCATAGCAATAGTACTTGTTAGCAATATCATTTTTGTGTGTCGAAGCTAACCCTCGCACTAACAGCATTTACTGGGTCCTTGCTGTGTGCCAGGGATGGTCTCTCATTTAACTGTCACTGAACCCGACAGGCAGGTACTGTGATTAGTTATGTTTCTCAGATGAGGAAGCGGTCCTGAGTGGGAAGGACAGCAATGTGGAAGCGGACAGGCAGCTGGCAGTCACTCTCAGGTGACCCCTTCTGTTCTGTGAACCCATTCAGTCAGGACTCTGAGTGGGTGCCATCCTGGTCTAACGGCGCCAGGCCCCACTGACCATGTCCACAAGGACACGCCAGGAACTGTGGCTGGTGCCTATGAAGTGTGTCTGTTGTCTTCTGTTGGTTTGCCAACTGCACCATTGAGTAAAATCCTGGATTTCTGACCCATCTCAGGTAACTGACGTCTCTGCCCATCTGGTCCCGGGCAGCCAGCCCGAGAAGGAGAGCCGGCAGCACCCTTGTGTGGAGTGTGGCCGCAGCTTCGCATCGTCCGCGCTGCTGCTGCACCACAGCAAGGATGCGCACGGCCGGGAGCGCATCCACGTATGCCCCGTGTGCAGCAAGGCCTTCAAGCGGGCCACCCACCTCAAGGTACAGTGCCCTCAGCTGCCACTGCAGCCCCTCCCCCGATGCCCGGCCCACTCACGCTCAATGAAGGGCACCATCCTTGAGTCACAAACGTTACTACAAATTTCAGTGACAACTTGTGCAATTTTTTTGAGGAAAACGTCAGTTGAGGTAAGGGTGTTTACCGGGGTGTTTTAGTCCTAAGACAGTGGTTCTCAACCTTGGCTGCACATTAGAATCACCTGGGAATCTTTTTAAAATCCTGATTTCTGGGCCTCATCCTCTGGAAATTCTGTTTCTTTGTTATGGGTTGGGGCCACAACATTAGTAAAAAGAAACAGAATTTCCGGAGGATGAGGCCCAGAAATCAGGATTTTAAAAAAATTCCCAGGTAATTCTAATGTGCAGCAAAGGTTGAGAACCACTGTCCTAAGAGGCTTGGTGGCTGCACGAGCCAATTGCATGTTCGTATGTTAGTCATAGTCAGTGTCAAATGCAAATGAGAAGAACATGGAGAGACTGTTTGTCATGCCTCAGAGTGGCCAATACTGAAAAAGCGGCGAGCACCTGTGGCAGGTGTGGGGAGACTGAAATCCCGTCAGTGCTGGTGAGACTGGGCTCGGTACACCTTCTGTAGAGGAACAGGGAGGCCCTAACCAAGGGTCTCTGCACCTGCTTGCGAATCGGCACAAAATATGCCCAAGGTCATTCGTTGTGGCATTGTTTGTAGCCACATGTAACTGGATAGGACCTGTGTGCCCGAAGGTGGGGCAGTTCCTGTGACCACGGACATTCCTTCATTGCTGTGTTGTCTTTAACAGGAGCACATGCAGACACACCAAGCTGGCCCTTCTCTAAGCTCGCAGAAGCCCAGAGTGTTTAAATGCGACACCTGTGAGAAGGCCTTTGCCAAACCGAGCCAGCTGGAGCGCCACAGCCGCATCCACACAGGTGAGGAGCCGCAGGGCTGCGGGGTCCTGGCACAGGGACCTCTGACCAGACCTGGAGGAACCAGGACTTAGCATGGAATACTTGTTCACCATAGCACACATGTGTATAATACAAGGACCATGTATGCTGTTTGTCCTAATTTTTATCACGTTAGTGCGGTAACTAGCCGTTAAGTGAAAGGTTTTGCTGCTCAGACTGTGAGCATAAAGCACAGTGTCAGGCCAGACTACCTTGTGGTCCCACAGGGCTTCCTTCCTGTCTCTCCTCACATTTCTCTACTGGCTTTTCCTGTCTCCACTAAGTCAGTCAGTCTCAGAAAAACACACAATAAGGGAGCAAACTCTCCCTGCCTCTCACCCCTCTCTCCTCCTCACACAGAGGCCCCTTCCTATGTCCTAGGCTCTGTCCTCCGCCTCCGCCTGGCCTGGGCTCCCCAGGTCTGAGCATCTTCTCAGGGTGGGGCCTAGGGCCTCCTGGGACCTGTCCACCTTCTTGGTCCACATGCAGGCACCCAGCAGAAGTCGCACTGAGAAGCTTTTCCTTTCACTTTCCAGTGTCTGAATTAACATGAAAGCAGTTACATGTTTTTTAAAGTATTTCATAAGTCCTACTTTTAATCAAGTGGTAGGACAGTCTCATGTCCTGAAGGTCTTTTTGTTTTCCTGCCCCAGTGGGTTGGAAACACTGTGCCCCTCATTTATGAAGTCTTCAGGACTGTCGGCAGCCTCTGGCAGTCTCTCATGTGTCACCATGGAATGGACTTGCTGGCGGGAGCAGGAAGGACACCATGGTGACCCCTGTGAATCAGCCCTTGTCTGCCAGTCATTTCCATGTGTGTGCCCAGCTCCTGCATGTGCCCGTGGTGTGGGTGTGCCCGTGGTGTGCATGTGCCTTTCTCCTGCATGTGCTCCTCGAGGGCAGCTCAGGCCCTGACTTGGTTGCTCTGCCCTCAGGGGAGCGGCCCTTCCACTGCACACTGTGCGAGAAGGCCTTCAACCAGAAGAGCGCGCTGCAGGTGCACATGAAGAAGCACACAGGCGAGCGGCCCTACAAGTGTGACTACTGCGTCATGGGCTTCACCCAGAAGAGCAACATGAAGCTCCACATGAAGCGGGCACACAGCTACACTGGTGAGGCCCCTGTGCACACTGCGCCTTCTGTAGGGGGGCCGGTGACTGCGTCCTGCCCATGGGCCCTGGGGAAGCCTTCCCCAGATGCAGTGCAAGGCCGTGTTCAGTGCAGGATGCTAAGTGTGGGTCCAGCCGGGCCGCTCCGTGCCCACTGCTGTCTGTGTGCCTGGCTCTCATAGGGCAGAGTCAGGCCATCCTGTCCACAGACGGGCCTCTGTCCATGTTGACACACTAACACTGGGCGTATTGAGGCTGTGGCCCCTGCTGTGTCCCACAAACCTGGGCCTGCACCAGTCTTTGTGAAGAGAGGGGTGATGGTCAGTGGCTGGATGGGCTGCAGGGGCCCAGTGGCCATGCAGGGCTGAGCTGCTCGTGTTGTATGTATGTGCTGAATAGAGCCTTTGGTGTCTGACAGATGGGCCTCAGGTTTACTTAGGTGTTAGAGTGGTGTGGCCTGTGCGTGAAGCTGACGGGCCTGCATGGTGACTGGCGACCAGAGGAAGAAGACACCGTTGTGGGGTTTTGAGGGAGAGAAAGTTCATTTTAATGGGTACACTCCAGGCCCTGCTTTACTTCCTATCAGGAAAAGAGGCGAGTTGTGAATGTTAGTGTCTGCCCCACCTCACTGATACCGCAGGAATAGCACCCTCACGGGCGGTTTTGTCCATGGCCACTGCCATTTTCACAGTTAGTACCGACATCACTCCTGAATCATTCAAACTGCGCTCAAATGGCTCTCCTCATTGGGGTGGAAAGCCCTCCATTTACCAGTAGAAAGTCCTTGTCTCTATTCCAGCTGTCCTTTAACTGAGTAATTTGTGCTGCTAGAGTCTGACCCGCCTGTGCTCTGTCTGCCCTGCAGGAGCCTTGCAGGAACCCGCGGGCCCCCAGGAGCAGGGCACCGAGGAGCTGAGCCAGACCCTACATCTGGAGGAGGTGGTGCCTGAGGCCCCTGGCGAGTGGCAGGCACTGGCCAATGTCTTCTGAGCAGCCCATGGCACCCTGGGACATCTCTGAAGTTCTGTGCTGTGCAGAACGAAGCACTTGGAATTTCTGTTTTGAAGCTTCAAGTGTTAAACATGTTACCACAGTAGGTTTTTAGCTATAAAATTATCTAAAGAATCATTGTCTTTCAGAGACTTAGGAAAAAATCCGGGGAAATGTAACTGCATTGTTCTCATTTGTCTACAAAATCACTGAACTCAGGTACGCGACAGGCAGTTTCACCCTCTGCTCCGTGGCCAGTGCGTCTAGTTACACACAAGTTAACTGGATCTTACTATCATTGTTGTGTGATTTCTTTGTATTACAAAGACAAGTTAACATGGAAAAGGTCATATTTTCCTTCATGCTTTATGTTCTAAGAAGCATAGCTTATAAAACAAATGTCAGGTAGGTGCACAAAGTCCAAAAAAAATGTTAGACCACACAGGGAAGTTCCTTTTCTTTTCTCTGTGCATTTTGAAGGTAGAAGAAACTGACTCTTTTTAGTCTGTAAGTTAATAGAACGAATACCTTGAGAAATGGCTGGACCAGTTCTCTGCATTAAAATATCTAATCATTAGTTATCAGAAGGCAGCCTCTGAGCGTAAACCTGGGGAGCAGAGTAAACCCAACACACGGACAAGGACGACTCAGTCCGCAAGTGACGCTGCCCTGCCTCACCAGCGACAAGCAGGTCCACGGGCCAGATCGTTGCAGGAAGTACAAGCCCTCCGTTGCCAACAGAAAGTGAGAAAGGAGCTTGGCCCTGCTCACCGAGACATTAGGTCTATCTGTAATCGAAGGGCAAGAGCCCACCTGAGCCCGTGTTTTCCTACTCATGCATCAGCAGGTGTGTTTTTATTTCAGGGAATTCTTGTCTCATCAATGGTGCCACATTCAACATGTCCCACACCAAGCCCCCCGTGCCGGGGCGGCGTGTCCTTCCTGCAGCATTCCAAAGATGGAAAGTTCTCTCTCCATGTGAATTTCCCCTTTGAAGTTATTTATATGTTCTATATATAAGTGCATATGTACATACAGATATATGGGCCTCTGTGTGGCTGAACAGTATATTTTGTAAATATAAGCACTCGTCCCCATTACAGAGAGAGCATCAGCGCTTTTACCTCCCTCTGAGCACTTCAGACCAGTATTGTGTTCATTTTATTAATAAATGGGTCTCTTTTTCATTGTAACACAGAGCTGGGCTGTTTTTATTTTTCTGAAAAATAACTGCCTTTATGTTCTCTCATTTCTTCTCTGGTTTCAGAGGGCAGTTTATTATACTGTAAATAGTGTACGGACTTTGTATATTAAGAGAGGAACTCATTTCAGGTTCCTGAAAAAAAGAGACATTTCACTCTTATTTTTTTGAAAGAGCATCTTTTGATTTTTTTTGTTTTTGTTCACTTTTGGATATGTATATAAGTAACATGGTGATATAAAAACTTTTGTTATGTGAAAATATTTAAGTCAGAAAACTGTTAAATAATACTTTTTTTTCAAACTGTGTTGTGTATTGTATATTTTTTTAAGGGGAAAAAGCCTTATTTGACTTATTCTTGTGATGCTGGACTTATTATATATCTTGAGGTTTTCCTTGAATGTTGGTGTGTGTACCTGGCTGTAGTCAGTGTATTCAGAATAATGTAATTTTGCCAGAGTTTTAAAGGTTTTGCTTCTAATGCACTTTCTTTTATAATTTTGTATTAAAATATTTTAGAAATGTTCATTAATTTTGGTAAACAAAAATCCCAAGTTGCAGTTATTGGAATTTAAAAAATTTTGTTCTTGCTAGTTTATTTATTTTGTTTTTAGCATTAAATGTCATCTCAGGACAATCTCTAAGAGGGATTTATTTAATTCTTAATTGTACTCAAGCACAGCCCTGAACTCTGTACCACGAGAATCTAAAACTACTACTACTTTGGTTAAAGAAAAAGAAAAAACCCTATCAACAATTCGTTTTGTGAGTGTTCTCAGTTTATTAGCAAGCAAACACAAAATATTAGTGTATTACTTTGATTCACTTTCTAATTATAAAAGCTGCTTCTTTGCAAAACATTCCTTGAAAAGATAAGATTTTGTAAAGACAGTTTATGGAACCCTGGGTGGAGTGCAGGTTGCTCTTTATGACTTAGTGGCCGATGAAGTCTTCTGACGAGAGATTTCCAGCCTTGCACAGCCAGGACCTTGAGGATAGATAACAGCATCTTCAGAGAGATCTCATCTTAGCAGATCTCTTTTGGCAGAACAATAAATAAAACATGAAGTTAGGAAGTGGGACCCATTTTTCCCTTTAGAATATTTAATATAAGGAAGTTTGGCACATGAATTCATTCCAAGTTCAGATAGTTTTTAACAGAAAGGAACTTTGACACTTTCCTTTCCCTCTGTGAACCCAGACAGTGAACGCTCACCGGTGCCAGGTGGCCGGGTCTGCCCGAGAGCTGGGTGCGTTCCTGTGACGCCAGGTCTCAGGAGGAACCCTGTGTGCATGGAATCCCAGTCATTAGGTTATTCCCATAGAATGTCAGTGGCTTAGGACGAAAGCATCCTTTCAGAAATGGAAACTCCAGTGCCCTTGCCCACACAGGGTGCACTGGTCCACACGCGGTGCCCTTGCGGCTGGCCTTTTGCCTCAGTTACACCCATTGGTGCTTGCACGGGTGTGAAAGGAGACCCCGCCCACCTGGATGTTGCCTGTGGCCCATCAGGTCAGTGGGAGGCTCATCGGCTGCCCATGTCCTCTGGCCATGTGTCCCTGAGGGGACGGAGAACACCTGTCCTCACAAGGAGTACCAGTGGTCCTCCCCATGGCGAAATTCCAGTGCCAGCCAATTGCAGCATTTAACTAGGGAAACTTTCTTTAGGATATTTTGTACTCTGCCCATTGTCATTTTTAAGAAAATGTGAGTTTTTGTTTTACGATTATAACCATTGTTCTCTGACGTCTAACCTCTTACGTAACATTTATGTGCAAGAGATGTGCGTTTTAGTCCAGGTCTGAGGCTCTGCACAGTAAGGTGCATTTCCCTTCTTCACGTGGATTCCCTCTGCAGAAGAATATTTTAACTTATGAGGAGACGCATTTTTTAACAACAAAAAAACTGATCCGTTGGATTTACGTAAGTGAAACCTTTTTAAGAAAACATGTAAGATATATGGGACTGTTGTCTGGTTACATTTTTAGAGAGATCTCATGCCTTCTCTGCATACTCTCCCCCCAACCCCCGCCTAGAAGTTTATTTCAAAGTCAATACGCTAGCTACTCTTCCCCCTACCACCAAGAAAAAATCCAAGGGTCAGTTGTTGCTAATTTCTTTTTTCTAGACTCTCTTGTACAAAGTGAGGCAGAGATGACATTATACAGTTGATACTTGTGAACCTAGAGGTCTTCTCATTTTGCCACTTAATCTCATGTAACGTAGGTAATTTGGAGTTTGTAGAATAGAATTTCAGAAGTGTCTGCATATACATGGGGCCTCCATGTCTTTACCTTATTCTAGTGAAAATCAACATTTTAAAATCTAATGGCATCTTCTTCGTTGTTTAAAAAGTGGGGCGGCAGACTTTTGATTACAGTTAGAAACCCTGCATGTCCCTCTTAAAGAGGCAGCCTCTGCCTTGGGGAGGTTTCTAAGCAAGTGTCACGCTTGGTCAGTGCTGGTCTCATCGAATGTACGCGCTTCCTCAGTCATACCAGCGAGCCCACACTCATCCTCTCACACCCACCGCTTTATATGGGTGCCTGATGCAATAGTTCAGCACTAACACTGAGCACCAAGTGGCCGCATCAGCGGCAGGAGCAGTGGGCAGTCACTTCGAGGCTTTGCCGTTTGACCATGTTTATGTGTACTGCTTACAGCATGATGACTTCTGTGTTCAGTCAAGATTTGTAATCTATTTGACCAATTCTAAAATGACAAAGTGATTCACTCTTGATTCACCACTAAAGAAAATTTTTAATTTATTTTTTTCACAAAAGAAATACTTTTTTTTATCTCCAACATGTTTCATGGTCTACTTATACATTGGATGATACTGATTTAATCCAATTTTGTATTAGAAATGGATAGTTATGCCAAAGGCCACTGTGCTGGGTTTAGGAGTAATAAAAACAGTTTTGGTAATATTTTAAAACTCCTGTACATGTACTTATTTGGGCTCTGGATGAGTTATAATAGTTGCAAGATGGACATTTCTCTAGGTAGCGTTTTCCACAGCGCCAGCACACAATGGCGCTGAATTCACAGTTCAGATGCGTGGGGTGTGGACTGTGCGGGGGTGTCTCATTTTCTATCCCTGAGAGTATTTTATACTCTCGCTTGTACAGTATTTGAGGGTGAGATGAAATGAAATGAATCATTATATCAGTTTATCCATTTCAAACTTTTAGAAGCTGGTGGTTTATAGAGTCATTATCTTGTTGAGATAGTAAATGAAGGACTTTTGTCCTGGTTCCCTTTGTTTCTAGCACAGAGTAGGGACTCCATACACTTTTGGAGGAAAGTGATGTGACTGGACTTTCTCAGGCTGGTAAGAAGGCTTTGCCCCACCTCGTTGCCTGTTTGTGGGGGGATTGCTCTAATCATTTTTAAATATGGGGGTGGTGGGATGACACTATTTCAGGTGATCAGATTATGGGAAATGTACTCCCTCTACAGTGAATTGCTCAATTACCTAAAGTGCTTCTCCCAATGAATTTTCCAGAATACTTGGCTCTCTTGTGAGATTGTTTGCATTTAAACACAAAGGCGTGACTTGGCCCAGCATCTTGTGCAAATCTGAGACGTGAGGTGACTTGGAACCTCGGGTTAGCTGAGCCCTGGCACCGACCATTTATAAATTAATTATTTCTGCATAATTTCCAAATTCCTTCGTCCTAGGAGGTTTGGGTAGAGAAGTAAAAAGGAAGAGTGTTGTTCAGTATTGGCTTGGAGTCCCTCAGCCCCACGATGGGGCTGCCTGCCCCTGAGGCAGACACGGGCTGGGGGCCCTGCCATTATCCTGCCTGGAGCTGCCCTTGCTGAATTTCACAGATGCACAGAGTTCGACAACACTGCTATTGAGACAGAAAGGAACCCATGGTTTTGTCAAAAGCAAAGCAAAATAAAAAATCATTTTAGTGGATCTTTTTGAAAGAGAATTCTTGTAACCCAACCCAACTATACACATTCCCAAAATCACTTGTTGTCAATGTCTCTGCAAGATAAAATGTGGTAAAAAGTAATTTGTCAGAGATTCCTTACTTCACATGAGCATGGTGCTCACTGGTAAATGCAGTAAAAGATGGTTTAGCCAGGCCGGTGTGGCTCAATGGTTGAGCGTTGACCTATGAAACAGGGTGTCATGGTTCCATTCCTGGTCAGGGCACATGCTCGGGTTGCGGGCTCGATCCCCAGTAGACGATGTGCAGGAGGCAGCTGCTCAATGATTCTCTCTCATCGATGTTTCTGTCTCTCTCGCACTCCCTCTCCCTTCCTCTCTGAAATCAGTAAAAATATATTTTTTAAAAGTTGGTTTAAAGATAACTTGAAGATTCTCTTCCTGGTGCATCAGAGACCGACGCCCTCAAAGTGACCCGGTCCCACCTTCTCTCGTCAATGTGAGCCATGCGATGACATCGCACCTGCTGGAGGTGCTGGCGTGCGGTGTGCCATGACCACAGGTCTGTACCACGTTCGCTCGGGTGTGATGATCGCAGCATGTGGGCTCACGTTTCACGGATGCAAATAAGAGACCCCATGCGAGTATCATTAAAAGTTTATTTATGTCACTATTCAAGAACAGTGTGTTCTCCCCGTGACAGCCATGGCTGCTGTCAGGGGTCATCTGCATGGGGCTCACACCAACATCAGCTCACGCAGACCACTCAGGCTGAGCAATTGGAGGTTTTGTTTCCCAAAGTTTTTTTTGTTTTGTTTTTTGGGTGTTTTTTTTTGTTACCGTCTCATCACTGAGGCTATGAGTTAATAGACATTATATAAACCCACACTCAACATTCAGGATTAGATGGGATTAGAGGGGCCCTACGGAGGCCACTCCTCATCTTCATTCTAGAGGAGAAGGAGGCTGCAGGGGGTCTGGAGGGAAAGCTGAGAAGAGGCACTAAAACTCAAAAGGCACAATCAGTACGTTATGGAGGGGCAGGGGGTGTCCGCTCACATTAGAAGGGTACTGTGCAGAAGACAGCTTTTCTAGCCTCAGTAGCCAGGCCCAACCATAGGTCAGGGTCAGGATCAGAGTCAGGGGCAAGATCAGGGTTAGGGGCAGGGGTAGGATTAAGTTCAGGGTCAGAGGCAGGGGCAGTATCAGGGGCAAGGGCAGGATCAGGGGCCCCGGGCGGGGGTAGGTTCAGGGCCCTACTAAGTCTAGTCACACAGCACATTCACTCCCCGGATGCAAGCACACGGAGGGTTATTCTACGAGGTTAGTGTTTGCAATGTGCACTGCCATGCTGAGCATGCCACCTGTCACGGTCGGCTTTCCAGTGACCAGGGTGACACTGTGCGGCCACCCCAAAATCTCCTACAGTCCACTTTCTCTGTGCAGGTCTCCCCGAGCTCTCAGCCGGGCTCTGGTGACGAAACAGGACTCTGTAGGGGCCACTCTGGTCCCTCCTATGTCCTCGCCTGTTTCCTGCCCCAGGCTACTGCCCGGCCCTTTTGCCTCCTTCCCCTCTCCATCACACACGAGGTCAGTCAGCCCCTCTGGCGTGGGAGCAGCCCACGGGGCCTCTGTACCCATCACTCTGCTCTCTTCCAAGCTGCCCACCGGCATCCACGTACCAAAGCTCCCACGGGGGTGACGCCACTCCTGCTGCCTAGTCCTGTTAGGAGGTGAAGGGGCCTCAGGAGGTGAGTCAGGGCAGGGGACAGGAACTGGAGGAAGCGTGGCCACAGTCCCACCACCCGCACGTGTCCTGTGTCACAGCAGTGCCTCCCAGCAGTGCCCGAAGCCGGGGGGTGGGTCAGTGTGCAAAGCAAGTCCAAGGACGGAGGGTCAGTGGGACGAGGCCGGCGCCGCGGGGCTCGGGCTCCAGGGCGCCTGGCGCATCGCTGCGGAATGAGACTCCAGGACACTTTGTCTTCAGACATAGAGTAGGAACAGTTGAACTGTTTTGTGTTTGTGTTTTCCATGCAGCCGAGGGCCAGAAACTGCCAGTAGGATGCGGCGTGCCTGACCCGACTGTGCGCACAGGCCAAGGCACTAGCGAGAGGTCGTGTCTAGAATGAGGGGTGGACTGGATGGGACAGTGTTAAAATCCTAGGGCGGGATTATTAAGAAGCCAGGACAGGATTCGCAAACAGGAGTCAGGCTCAGCGTCTGGCCATGGGCGATCCAGAGCGGCTGTCTCTTCCGCCCTGAGAAGAGGAAACACAGCGTTAGGTGAGTGCTGGGACCGCGGCCATGCTCCCCTTCCTGGAAACCACTGGGGGCTGTCACTGGGTCTGTTGCTAGAAATGAAGCCACATGAAGGTGTCTTTCCCTCCATCCCTCACCACTCCCTGAACAAGCGCTGAATTTTCAGGGCTTCAGATGAATCACTGGAATTCAGTTCCCAGGATGTTCTTGGCTAGAAATTCAGTTCCAGGTGAAAAAGCTCCATGTCTTCATTATTATGCTCGGAGTGAGCACCTCATTGTTTTTAGCTAGAAATTCCCGGGGTAATTGAGGGGAGTTGTCTGCAAACAGTGACAGGGACAATCTCACCTCTGGGGTGACACACCAGTTGCTGAACCTCACAGGGTTATGGGGGGGGGGGGGGCTTATCCCCGCTTGTCAGCCCCTGATCTGCCTCGCCCAGACTAACCTACAGGCAGGCTGTCAGCAAACTTTGATGTAATAGGCTTAAAACCACAAATGGACATGTTTCCTGTACAATTAGAAAACATTTTTTGACGTTGGCCTTCGCTGAGACGGAGACAGCTGTGCAGGGCCCACAGTGTGGAGGTGGCTCAGGTGTGGGTGCACACTCTCTGAGAAGACAATGCAGTTGGTCTCTCATGTCATTGAGATGGACATGGGAGAAATGCGCTAATTTTCCATTCAAATTTTGCTCTCATCTTCCTGGGGTTTCCCTTTTTCCTGAGGTTTCAACTGAAAAATTGATCTCTCAAAATAGAGACTTCCTTTGGAGTGAGCCCCAGAAAGCAAGGTATTCGTGGAACATGCTATTTCCCAGACGACAGTGAGCACTGAACTGGTGCGGTCTAGTCTAATTCTGTGTTCCCCACGTGTGGCCCGCAGTCGGGCCTCTGGGAGTGTGTGGAGCGGGCACTCAGGCGGCCTCAGGGCTGGGGTGAGCCTTGTCAGCAGGGCCCTCAGAGCTGCCCTCGGGGAAGTCTGAAGAGCCTCGCCTTTTTCTGAATTTCCAAGAGGTTAACCCCAGGGCACCTGTAGAGTTGTCATTCATTCCTGACCACAGCAGAACCACCACTTATAAAACAAAGCACACATGTGCTGGAATGGATTCCGTTCCGAAATCCTCTGCGAGGCAGCTTAAGTGAGGTTCCATTTACCTTCTGGATGGCTCCTTTAAATTAAGGCTGGTGGGCTTCCTGGTTTTATTTTCAGCTCGCGTACCTATGATTTATTGAGTACCTACCACGAGCCAAATCTGTTCCATCTGTTCTCTTAGGAACCAGAAAGCCCAGCCCAGAGGTAGCTTTCACATTCCCATGTTATGTGGGAGCTGCAGCTCAGAGAGGGGGGGTCACTTCCCTAGAGTCACTCAGCCCGTAAGGGGAGCCTCTGACGTTCAGCCTCTGTCCTATTTGTACCACTTTCAACCCTCTGCCTAAAGCACTGGTCCGCATGGGCGAGATCAGACTGAATCTGTATTTTAGGGCAGGACCAGAACAGAGGCCGCGGCAAAGTCACAGCTCTCCACTCTTCCACGTCACAGTTGTTGGGACGCGCTCTGGGTAGGAGCAGGTGCCAGCTCAGGTGTGTGGGATGAGAGACTCCTGCACATTTCGGGGCGGCTCCAAGTGGTTGGGATAGATGCAGTGCTCTCCGCCCGGTTTCCAACCATCAGCCCAATAGCCGAATCCGGCCCCTCCTCCCACTCTTTCCTCTCACCGCTGATTTTCTATGGTGAACGAGGAGGAGGGAGAAAAGACAGGGGATACGCTGTTACCTTAAATACTGTCAAATCCCACCATGTCCACTCATCTGCCTTGAGGTCTCTAATCTCTGGGGGATTTTTAAAATCTGTTTTAACTACTCCATGTCAAACATTCAGCTCCCATGTGACCAGAGTAGCACAGCGGATAAATTTTTATGTAGTAAAATTGAATTAAAACCATATTAATTGAAATTTGTTTTAATTTGAAAAATGGAAGCTTCCCTTGAACTGTATAGAAATGTTAGAATTTCTAAACCACTGCCTATAAGAAGAATTTTAGGGAAACATTGGCCCTCATTAAGGAACAAATGGGTTCCATACACAATAAATGTGGGAGTTATGAATGGGTGTTTTTATACCTGCTCAGCTGTGCCCTCCCCTCACCGGTTGGTCATCACTCATATGTGATTCATAGCCACTAAGCTGGTTAGCGCAGTAACTAGTTCCCCAGAACAGGACAAACCTGCACGTCTGGGACAAGGAGGAGATGGTTACAACTGCAGAAAGCCGGGTTCCTCCGGGGAGCCTCGGGCGCACAAAGTCGTGGGGCAACCCAGGAAGGGTCAGGGCACTGCAGGCCATCCCATCGGCCGTGCCCTCCAGCAGGCCTGGGCCACAGGTGGGAACATGGCTGTGCTGAGTGCAGGGCTGGGTTTGGACCCAACACTCTGGTAGGTCCAATCCCCCCATCTCGGCCACATTTCAGAATTGAGGTGAGTGGGTCATGACAGCCTCCGTCCGGGGTGGAATTCACTTCCTTGTAGCCACATCGAGGAGTGGATCTGCCTACATTTTCCCTGACATCAAGCCAGTTAGCAGCTCGGCTACTTACCACTCACGTCATGTATTTAAGGCTTTCTCTGAACAGCTGTGACTTCCCTAAAAGGCAGAGCCTGCTGTCCACATCACCTGTGTGCCCAACACCACCAGGTCTTCATGCATGGGCTCCGCATGCGTCTCCCAACCCCGGACACACCACACCCATGATTCATACTGAGTTAAAGGGCAAATTGGCAAATCAAAGGGTATTTGGATTACACACCAAGTTATTCCACCACAAATTATAAACTTGATGTTTTAACGAACCAGTTAGAAAGCAGCTTTCACAGGTCAGAGACCTCCCTCAGTGGGGATTTGGGCTGCAGGGCCCTGTGCTCTGTTAGCAGAGATGAGCCCTGACCCGGTGTGGCCTAGAGCTCCCAGGGAGCA